TCATAACTTTAATTGTCAATGTCAAATAATTTAAGCTTGTAGATATCACAGAGGAAAATGGCATTCTATAGGAATAATTTATGATTTTCTTTTAGATAATTATATCCAACGTTTGAATGTAGAAGGATCTACCAATGGGGAATGAATCTACTTTTGCACCAACGAGCAAGCAATTGGATGGCGACTGGCGAATAGACAAGGTAGACACTTGAGAGTATATAGTTACCCTGTTCACTTTAATTTTCGTTTCTTGTTTTTATGTCATAAATTTGACAACCGAAATGAGAAAACTTGTTTATCTTTCATTATGTTTTCTATTCGTTTCCAACTATGAAAACAGAAAGTGGCAACTTCCTGCTGTTTTCGGAAACGACAAAATGTTGTTTTCACATGTTTTCAACATCTGTTTTCTCAAAAACAAGAAACAGAAATGAAAGTAAACATGCTCTAAGATTGGCATGTTCAAATGTTGGGCGACATACCCGCCAACTTCTCTAGGAGTCTCTACCTAATTTTCAGGGCAATTGGTGGGTATTTACAGGAAGTTCTTTTCAATATGTCACCAATCTTGATGTCTTTTTGGTTTAAATCAAGAAAACAGAGGGTGATTATAAATCCATTCAGAATCAAAGATTGTCTAGAAACAACATCTCAAATTCCTTGACTGCCAAACAAGAGAATCGTTGACTCGCACTAACTACACATTTTCAATCGAAGACCAAGCATAACCAACGACAAGGTGCAGTATAGGGTAAGTAAAGTAATATAGTTTTTGAATTCACGGATCTCTAGATGTACCGTTGCTTCAACTTAGATTCGTTGTCTAGCCAAACAAAAATAGTGAAAATTAAACTAACTACACTAATCTAACCACTACTCTAATTAATTATAGGATGGGAGCTCACGTAGGTATGAATCCCCTAATTCCTCAATTGGACCAATATTGAGTACTGCCTTAGATTGATGACTCGATACTTCTACCGCGGAGAATTCTATACTAGATTTCACCCCAATTCGAGGTATCCAACCCCGCTCAATTGCTCTACTTGGAGAGGCTACCGTAAAACCGACATAGGCGATTGAGGTGTTCACAACCAATTCTCACGAATGGAAAAAACCCAATACGACATCATGGACCCAATCACAAGCTTTCATAGACCCACAATAATGAATTAGTAGTGCTCTATTCAACCTAGGAGGATATTCTCCCTCCCAGGTAAAAAACCCTCAAATTGAGGGATGAGATCAAGATCCATCAATTGCATGAAATACTCAATTCAATAGATAATAGAGAATCACAATCATAGGTTTTGTCACGTACATCGGCATCAAACCAACATCTAGACCTAGGGTTCATCAACCTAAGTGAATGAGAGCTAATTCATAGAGATAATAGAATTTACAATACAAAGCTTGAGGTCTTCATTCTTCATCTTCTAGGCTTGATTTCCTTGCTCCAAGCTCAATTCAAGCCTCCAATTCAGCCACAAAATCACTATTTCTAGAAATCCCCCTTTGGGTGTTTTAGGGTAAAAACCCAACTCAACCGAACTCTCCCTAGCTCTCCCCAATCTATCCCCTCAAAAACCAGCAACAACAGCTTTATAGTATGCAAAAATAAGCCTAGCACAGGCGTGAAACACAACCATGTTCTCTGGCCGTGTTCATTCCTGCACTTCATTGTTTAAGTATTCCAGAAGCAGGCCTAACACGACCTGGGAACACGGGCATGTCCTAGGCCGTGTACTCAGTCTTTATCAATCAACACCGTTTTGGATCATACTCATATTTTTCGTATTGATGTCAAGGTCTTGGAGACTGCGACCCTTGCAACTGCCCGTGAGATGTAGTTTGACTTCTATCTCTTAGCATCGTACATAAGTTGATGACACACCGGTTTTCTTCATATGGCAAAATTAGTGAATGTCTTGGAACTTAGTCGTGTCTTGCGTTGTGATAAGGAACACGGGGGAGGAACACGACCGTGTCCCTGGCTGTATTCTCTCTGATTTCTCCTTTCAATATTTTCTTGCTCTATTCATCCTAAAACTCGTTCATCGGCTTCCACTACGTGCTAGGACTTGAAACATAATAAAAAGAGGTACAACCTAGCATAATATAAGACAAGGAAAGCTAAACAATATGTCAAACGATCAAGAAATGAAGGGTCAAGCATGCACAGTTAGCCTCGAATCAAACCCCCAACACTTGACTGTTTACTTGCAGCGGCAGATCCAGAATATAGTAGAGCACTAGGCTGCATTTCATTAGAAAATTATATATCGTACAAAAATAATAACCATATTTTTCTACAATGTCAATTGTACATGACGATATTTTAATTTAGTAAATTCATCAATAATGGACTCTACATCCATACCAATATCATATTCTCTTTCAAATAAAATAGTTAAGCAACCGCCGAGAAATTCAACGCTCAATGCTCATTTTATTGCGCAAATCAGTTTTCACATGTTTCATTGTTGAAAATGTTATCTTCTTAGTTTTCGTTGAACGGCCAACGTCAACACTAGACAAATCAATCGACTAATCAATTTATATTGTGTGTGCATCCCTTATTTCCATCGGATGCCCTAGTAATATTTCAAGGGAAACCTCATATTTATTTTGGGCTCTTTACGTTTTAGACTTTTAGAATTTTAGAATTCATTTTTTTAGATGAAAATAATTGAGTTATAATTTCTAGGCTAAATTTAGAGTAGTGATTTGAACATGTTCATCCGAACTATTTTTCTAGTTACACACAATCCTATTATAAAATAACATTGGGGCGAATGTCTAAATCGAAAAATTCGTAAGGACTATACTAGCTCCGGATCCAGAGAAAAGCTGGGTCGTGGCCCATGGTTGCCACCCCTGGATCCGCCACTATTTGCTTGTCTCCAAGCAAACCTAACTCCTACTAGTGCAACTTGCAAGAAACTCACAATGGTATGCACTATAGATTAGGTTGCTGTTAGCACTTTAAAAAACAATCAGAGATGAGAAACCTTACTTTCATCTCTATGACAACACACTCTCGAATGAGGCCTTGCCGACTAACGAGGTCTAGACACTTCACATGTGCACTGGAGGACTCTCATGAAAACATGTAAAAAACAATGGACTCCATTCCATGGTGGTGCTCCTACTTTTCAAAAGAGAACTCAAACTCTCGAGCCTCAACATAAATTTACCGAACATGGCACCACCTTTTAATCTTTGCAAACAAGGCTCTCTCCCTCATGGCTAAGAGCAAAAGTGACATTGACTTTTCTTTCTCAACCTCATGTGGGAAAAGTGTTGGTTGAGAGGATGGGAAACTGTAGGAAGGTGAAGCATTCGGATGTGAATCCTGATCTCTCAAGCACCAATTGCCAACATGCACTCTCATCTCAATAACAGACGGGTTGCCACACATGTAAGGTAATAATGAGAGTCGAGGTCTCCCGACATGCGAAAAGGCACAAAATCTCCTCTCAGACAAGTCCCATGAGGAGGAGAGTTGTTTGGAGGATGGAAAATAGAAATGATGATGGTTGGATGCTCAAAAGCTATCTGATCCCTAAACACATCCTTAATTGGCACTCCGGTCCAAAAGAAAATCCCTTTGATGGCTTAACTTATACACTATGACCGTTTGCCTCTCACATGAGAACAATAATTTTTCAAAACATCTTCATAATGGAGCACATTTTTGCAAAACTTTTTGGAGTCCAAAATTGTGGAGAGCCTCACACTTTTTGGAGAATCACAATCATAGCGTTTGTCATATACCTCAACAATCAAACCAACATCTAGACCTAGGGTTCATCCACCTAAGTGAAGAGTAGCTAATTCATAGAGAGAAGATAATTTACAATACAAAGCTTGGTATATTCATTCTTCATCTTCTAGGCTTGATTTCCTTGCTACAAGCTCAATCCAAGCCTCCAATATCACTCTTGATCTCTCTCTCTCTCTCTCTCTCTCTCTCTAGACATCCCCTGTTGGGTGTATTAGGATGAAAACTCAACTCAACCAAACTCTCTCTAGCTCTCCCCTCAAAATCCAGCAAAAGCTTTATAGTATGCAGAAATAGGCCGAACACGGTCGCAAAACACGATTGTGTGTCATCGTGCAGTCATTATTTAAGTATTCTAGAAGAAGCCCTAACACGACCTTGGAACACGTGCTGATGTCCTAGGTCGTGTTCTTCAATCTTCATCAATCCACACCGTTTTGGGTCGGACTCTAAATTTCCGTGTTGATGTCACGGTCTTGGAGACATATTTCATATCATGTTATTTCATAATAATTAGTATCTAAGCAACTAATGACACCTAATTGATCTTTTAAATTGTAAACGAGACATATTTGCTCACGTACTCAAAAGTCTTAAACATCAAATGAGGTGAGATATCTAGTTTAACAAACTTATAAATTATCAACAAAACAACTCACAAGATATAGATGGATTCGCTCATAACTCAGTAGTCGAGTTGGCTATTTAGTCACAATGTCAAGACATCTCATGAGCTCAAAACGAGTCAGCTCATGAGTCGAGCTCAACAAGCCTCCAAAACGAGCCAGTTTGCTAGTCATACAATTTGAATGCGACTTAACTCAAACTCAACTTGTTAGTAAACAATTTGCGATTCGAACGAGTTTTTCCCCGAACCAAACGTTAAGCAGCTCATAAACAAGTCGGCTCAGTTGCAACCCTAGCGGAGCTGCCCTAAAATGACCAGCCATTCATGATGATTTGACCCTCCAGCCCAGTCAGAATTTCACCCTCTGACTCAGATCAGAAAAGACGTTTTTGCTTTGCTCAAATCCCTGACCCAAACCGCTGCCCTAACCACACGCATCTCTAGGACCATACTTACGTGGGTCCTTTCCCTCTCATTTAAACATTACATCACACCGCAGAGAATTCAATTTTTTTTCTTTTTTTAAGATTCCGCATTTCTTATTCTATTATTTTAATTCTCATTAATCTCTTTCTCTCTTTCATCATAATCACTGCTCCCTCGTCCTCCTGCTGCTGGCTAAAGAAGACAGAGGAAGAAGAAGACGGAAGAAAGCCCATCGGAATAAGCAGAAAAGAAAAAGAAACTCTCTCATCTTCTCCGATCTCCTGCATGGACGGTTCTCCGCTCCCCTTCCCTCCAATCTCAACGGTCAGATTTCCCTCCCTTCCTCTCTCTACTGTTTCATTCCTCCATTTTTAATTAATTAATTAATAATAATTACTGCGATCTCCCTTCTCCTTTCTCTCCTCTCAATTCTCATGTGTTTCTGTGTCTCCTTCTCTTCCTCTCTTCTTTCCCTCTCCTGCTCTGATATTGATTGTTTTCCGTTTCTTCACCAAACCATCACTTTCCTTTCCCTTCCCTACCCTCTTCCTATTTTGATTTCCTTCCCAATTTATCCCCTCTGCAATATATATTCTTAATTAACAATGTTTCCTTTGTTGCTGCTCCAGCCATCTTCGCCATGAATTTCGTCGTGATATCCTGCTCCTCCCCTGCTTCTTCTTCTTCTTCTTCTTCTTCTGCTTCAGTTTCTGCTGCTGGGTTGTTGGGTCAATGGGTTGCGGAGGTTCCAAGGTTGACGACCTCCCGCTCGTCATCCTCTGCAAAGAGCGAAAGCAACTCATCAAAGCGGCATCCGACCACCGCCTGGCCCTCGCCGCAGCCCACCTCTCGTACTTCCATTCCCTGCACGACGTCGGCGACGCCATCCGCAAATTCGTCGACGAGGAGCTTGTTTTGGGGACCTACTCTGCTTCCCCTGGATCCCCTGTTCTCACCCTTCCTCCCCGCGGCGGCGGCAAATCGAAACCCAAATCCAAATCCTCTTCCTCCACGACCTCGATTTCCCATTCCTTCGACGGCGGCGACGACAGCTACCACGGTAAGACCCAACCCAAGAAGATCAAGAAGAAGACCAAAAACCATTCCCACCACCGCGATCTTCACGAGGACCACGACGACGACGACGAAGATTCCCATCTGCATTTGTCGTCTTCCTCCGGCTCTGACTTGGACTCCGACTCCGGTCACATCCATTTCCACGACCACCATCATGACGGGCCGGAACGAGAGAACCGTGAATTCGCAGCTCAGTTTGAACGCGGTGGGAGAGGAGGCGGAGGTTTTGAGATGGCATCGACTTCCTATGGGGATTTCAACAATTACCCTGCACGGGGCAATTGGGGCGGCGGCGACGCCGGTGGGGGAGGCGGTGTAGCTGTTGAGATGCCATCGACTTCCTATGGCGACTTCAACAATTACCCTGGTCAGGGCAATGTGGGCGGCGGCGGGTATGGCTACCCTGGCGAAGGAATGCCGTATCCCTACCCATACCCGGATCCGTACCCGAAACCGTATCCGAATCCGGGCCCTTACCCGAATCAGAACATGTATTACATGAAAAGGTCCGCAACCCCGGCGAAGACGGTCGTCGTCGAGGACCCGGCAATGGCGAATGGTTTCTGGGGATCAAGTAATTATTTTGGGAACGGAGGAGGTAATTACTTTGGTGGGTATCCGATGATGGGCTCGCCGCCGCCGAGGGAGCCGAGCCCACAGAAGCCTCCGCCAGCGCCGCCATCTCCTAAGGCGTCGACTTGGGACTTCCTCAACGTGTTCCCATCATTTGATAATGGTGGTTCCGGTGGGTTCCCTGGTTATTACCCATCTGATAGATATGCTTATGGATCAATGACGAGTAGTCCCGACTCCAGAGAGGTCAGAGAAAGAGAAGGGATTCCTGATCTAGAGGACGAGACTGAGCATGAGGTGATTAAGGAAGTTCCCAGAGAGAAGAAGAGAATGAACGAAGAGAAAGTAATGAATAATGGGAAATCCAGATTCAATGAGGAGTTCCTGCACAGAAATTATGGCGAAGGGACTTCAAATCCAGTCGCTGTTGATACCAGCAGCAGTGAGAGCATGCATTCTGTGAAAGGCAGAGGGAATTTTAGCGGGATGGTATCGAATAAAGGTAAAGGCATCAAAACTAGTGTGAGCCCTGATACTATTCAGAGTCCAGATAGCATTGTTTCTAGGAGCCCCGAGGAAGAGGAGTTCGTCAAGAAGAAAGGTGTCACCTTTGAGGTGGAGGAGGCATCTACAGTGACTGCGGATGTCGAATCTTCAAAACCCAGTAGTAGCATGAACACATTGTCAGCTCATGGAACTAGGGACATTCAGGAAGTAGTGAAAGAGATCAGGGATGAATTTGAGACGGCCACTGGGTATGGCAAAGAGGTCGGATTTATGCTCGAGGTCAGCAAATTGCCTTACCAACAACGAAGTACTCCGCTTAAAGGTATAAGTTTTTCCTGTTTGCTTCAGTTCTCACCAGAAATCATGATGAATGCTGGATATTTACTTGAAGGTTGGGACTACTGTACAATGCTGATATGCATTGGTAGCTCAAGAGGTTAACATTCCTTTCATTTCATATTGGCAGTAATTCTGTTGAGGATTCTATCTATGAAAGCTCAAGCCAAGCCATCGGTTCAAATTTCGTCTAGGGTGATTAAAATTGCAAAGATGTACTCTGAACAGTCTGTAAATGAGTTCGAGATTCAACCAAGAAACCTTTCGTCCACTCTCGAGAAGCTCTACGAGTGGGAGAAGAAACTGTACAAGGAGGTTAAGGTATGTTGCAGCTTTTGTTACTTGTTCGGCTTTTGAAGTTGATTTGAATTCTTATTCAATAGGGATATAAATTGATTTAGTGATGAACCTTGCGACTACATACCTTTTGCTTGCTTTGACTATGGAGTGGGTTCTTTCTCCCTCTGTCTTGAGATACTTTGTTAGCCGGATGATTTAACATTTATTTTCGTGAGTACATCTGGGATTGCATTTTGAATCTTTTCGCTACATTGTGAGGCTGATGATATGAAGACACATACTAGCAGTTGTTTAATCTCAGAATTTAGACTTCAGTATGTATCCATGTTACAACTTGCACTTAGTCACTTATCATCTAGTGTTACTTCCTTTTTCTTTTAGAGGAACCATTGCTAAAAGTTATCTTTCCTTCCTTGTGAGGTTAGCTTGTACATGGCCGTGTGTCGTGTATTGGATGGTAATAATTTGATAATAACAACAGTTGTTACATGATGTTACTTCTCAGTTCGCTCACAGTTTCTGAGCCCCTCTTGCTATTATTTTAGGACGAAGAGAGGCTACGGGTCATATATGAAAAGCAATGCAAGAGACTAAAACTTTTAGATGAGCGTGGTGCAGAGTCTAGTAAAATTGAGGCTACACAGGCTTCGATAAGGAAGTTGCTTACAAAACTCAATGTTTGTGTCAGAGCTGTTGATTCGATATCTAGCAAGATACACAAGATACGGGATGAAGAGTTGCAACCCCAAATTACTGATTTGATCCATGGGTATGTCATTGCTCTCTTTATCTCTCTGTTGGTTCAAATATCAAGTTATGTACTGTTTGGTGCTTAGTGTTTTGGTTCTTCAATCATACTTGCTTGAGAATGTAAAGTTAAAAGGTTAGTTCCTGGATGGTTTGGCAATTAAGCTAGCTTGTAATGACATACGAGTTCGATGAAGTGAAAGACGTAGTTAGTTCATTGCTGTTGCTTCTTTTAAGGTGCAATCTTCAATATTTATGATCTATTTCAGAATTTATCTTCCGTACTTTACTGTAGCATCGTGTGTCATTTTTTAAAAAGTTATCAGACACCTTTGGAAGTGCACTGAAGTTTTAAGTGCTTGACACTGGGTTATCTATGATCCATCAGCTGTTTATCCTGACGCTTTTGTCTTTGATTCTGTGATTGATTTTATCTGGGTTCAGATAGCTTACTTCAAGATTTAAGAGCATTATTTCAATTACCAATTTTTTCTCACTTTTCAGATTGATAAGGATGTGGAGATCCATGCTCAGGTGCCATCAGAAACAGTTCCAAGCTATCATGGAGAGCAAGGCCCGTTCTCTAAAGGCCAACACTCTGCAGAGAGATTCAGGTCTAAAAGCTACTCTAGATCTTGAAATGGAGCTTGTGGAGTGGTGTACTCGGTTCAACAACTGGATCAAGACTCAGAAATCTTACATCGAGTCCTTAAACGAGTGGCTTTTGAGATGCATCCACCAAGAACCTGAAGAAACAGCTGATGGAGTTGCACCTTTCTCCCCAAGCAGAATGGGAGCTCCGCCCATCTTTGTGATTTGCAATGATTGGTTCCAAGGCATGGTTAGGGTTTCCGAGAAGGGCGTGGAAAGTACAATGCTTGATTTTGCTTCCAACTTGCAGCAGCTGTGGGAGAGACAAGACCAGGAACAGAGACAGAGAATCAAAACCGAGTACCTGAAAAAGGATTTCGAAAAACAACTGAGAATGTTGAGAACCGAGAGGGGCAGAATCGAGCAAGAGAGAGATGCGTTGTCAGATAAAACCGCAGTTTCCAAGGTTCCTTCAGAGAGTGGAGTTTCGCCACTGGATGATCTGAAGGTGGATCTGGATTCTATGAGGAAGAAGTTGGAAGAGGAAAAAGCTCGTCAGAAGGAAGCGACTAAGCTGGTTCACGACGCTGCTTCTAGTAGCCTGCAAGCTGGTTTGCTCCCGATCTTCGAGGCTCTGGGTAACTTCACCTCGGAAATTTTGAAAGTTCATGAGGATGTTAGGCTCGTTGATGGAGCCTCATAGGATATCACCAGGACCTTTAGTTTACATTTTAGGGAGCCCTTTTCAGAGGAGGCCCTATTCTTACTGTGTACAGTTATCATGAGATTGAAATTCAGATACCCTTGTTAGGGTGTGCAGCTAAGGATATTGAATAGCAGCAGCTGCAGCATTGCAGAGTTGTGAAACAGTGGAGTTTGTTGTGACGAAGGTTGATGATGGAAGATAAAGCTGTCCACAGAGAGCGAGGTTTCTTGAGCTAATGTTGAGTTAAGCCAGTTTTCTTGCAGCCCCTATTACTAGTTGTAGTCTTTAGATTTAGGAAAATTTTGTACAGGGGAAATTCATTTGTTGGTGAAATTGGTTCGGTTGGTTGGACGGGGTGTATTATTTATTTCTGTTGTTGTAATCTGTCTTGTTTAGGGGAATAGTGGGGGTTGGATGAAAGTTAGGAGACCAATTGTGTGGAAATTGCAAAAATTTTGACTTGGAAGTTGGGAATTGATTTTGTCTTGTTAGTGTTATTATTCAAGGCTGCCTTTAGGCTTTAGGGTTTGTGAGCTTCGTATGACCACAGTTGGTGCAAGTTTAAACAACTCTAACACGGTTTTTTTCTAAGACCGTATTTTTTCTTCTGGAAACGCTCAATGCATGTGTTCTGAATTGGATGGAGTAAACTAATAATGTTCTTCTGATTCAGTAAGGTCACAATAGTTTTGTGATCGTCAAGTGTTAGGTCCAATTGTTGATAATATAACGGATGTGATTTAATAGAGTTATAGATTTTGGGGAGAATACATATTACACAACTGAATAAATAAACAAATTAACCTAATTGACATGATTATAGATTAGGATCTCAAAGAGTATATTTACCCTTTTACTAATTCTAAACATAAAATTAAACACTTTTCCCAAATCAAAAACGAAAAAAGCCCAAACCAATTTTCGAACTTCAAATTAAAAGGCCAGAAAATAGTGACTAAACCAAAACCAAACAGAATAAATGAAAATGTTCGGTCCAATCCGAATAGAGCTGAGATACCCGAGCTCATAGAATATAAGAGTTGGGTCAAAGCTGAAATGGGCCCAAAAGGATGTGGAAGTGGGACAAAAAGGAGGCCCTGTAGACTGTAGTAGCCACAGTTCAAAAGAGAACGGTCACTGACAAACATACGTCATGCGCCTCAAGAATGCAGGGCAACATATCAGCGCATGGTTAACAAGACAATTACATCTTCATAAAGCAAATCGGCAACAATGTGGAAGTGTATGTGGATGACTTGGTGGTAAAAGTAAAATGCGTAAAGACCATCTGCAAGATTTGCAAGCGACCTTCGAGACAATGCGCCTCTTCAATTTGCGCCTAAAACCTTCGAAATGAGTATTTGGTGTTGAGGCGGGGAAATTCCTGGGTTTCATGATCACCAAGAGGGGGATAGAAGCCAACCCTAAACAGATCGAAGCAGTGATGATCTTAAAACCCCCGAAAACCCCAAACGAAGTTCAAGGACTTAACGGCGACTTGCCGTGACGCTTCATACCAAGGTCAGCATATAGAGGAGCCCTTTTTCGAGTCCAGGGGAAGGGTACGCGCTTCAAATGGACAAATGATTGCGATGGGGCATTCGATCAATTAGAGGGTATATTGACGGTGCCTACCATGATGACGACACCCAAGCCAAACGAGACAATTGTACTTGTACATCATCGTCTCGCGCATGACTGTAAGTGTTGTATTGGTGTCACTGGAAGCGAAAACGCGTGAGGAACGACAAGTGTACTACTTGAGTAGGGGTATGGTGGGGCATGAGATGCATTATGCGCATATAGAGAAAGCCGCATTGGCAGTGGTCAATGATGCTACGAAATTACGACCATACTTCCAGCTGAATGGTGTATATGATGTCAGGGAGGAAGCACTGTTTGTGTATTTGCGAGGTGTCCGAACAAAGAGTGCTTGGTTCCGGGAGGTCACATTCACACACTTTCCAAGAGGAGAAAGTACGTACGCTAACACACTATCAAAGTTAGCCACGACAACCGACTTCCAAAACGAAAGGCAGGTCATAGTAACGAAGGAGCACCCACATAAGGACCTGTTGGTGTCAGCAATAGAGGAAGGAGGAAGCGTTCAAGGCACCCAGTGGATGGCACCAATATGGTCCCCACCGATGCTCGTGAAACATGGTGCATAAGTCGGAAGGCCTCCCGATGCACCATAATCGAGGGCAATTATACAAGAGGTCTCACTCATGAGTGTATTTGAGGTGTCTGACCGAGACATAGAGTAAAACAACTACCGAGGAGGTTCATTAAGGCGTATGTGGGATGCATACAGGGGTGCGGAGCCTTGAAAATGTATTATTGCTACAAGGATACTATTAGCCAACTATTAGAGCAGATGCTCAAAAGCAAGTTGATAGATGTCACTAATCCCAATCCCAAATTAATTCTCATGATTAGGGGTGGCTGTACGGTCCAGACCGATCTTTTTGAAAATATGGGGACCAAAAATGAAATTGGGTACAGTTCGATTTTGACCTAATCCGGTCCCATTTCGGTTTTAACTCAACTTGGTCCCAATTCGATTTTGATCTAGTCTGACCCTGCCATAGAAATTGTGTTTTGTCGCACCAAAGCAGGAACAACGACCGGTACCTGCGAATTGAGTGACCTAAACTAAGACCATACATAATAACAACAGCTCTACACGGCCAATGGAAATATGCCAAATTCTTTATAAGCATCAAAGTAAGTAATATTGGACATGCTGTTTCACAAAAATTTACCCAATTATTTGTAAGCATTTTCAATAATATTGGACATAAAAGTTTGACAAAATCTGCCCATTTTTCATTCATTGGCTATCAAGTGTGAACAAATCCAGATAGATTAGTTTTACCTTCACTGGTCATGGAAATGACTTATCTAAACTTGGTACTACATTTTCTAAAAAAAACTTGGTACTACATACTTTCGTATCTGGTCATTGAAAAGAATATCCATATTTAAACCATTACCAAAACTTCTTTAGCAATGAATATCCGCTATTGAAATTATTACCTAAATTTATTTTTATTTTTGGCTAAGATGATTTTAAATTGAGACAATTTCCTAATTACAAATAATAGGTAATAATTTAAATCTTAAATAATCCACTCTATGACCAGCTAAGGAAAACAAACTAGTATATTAGGCATATGAATTAGTCACATGCTTAGCCTATATTTAGCATTCCAAGTCATACAAAATCCAAACTAATTAATGAAAATTGTTGAGGAAATTACTCTTACCAAAAAGAAAAGAAAAAAAAGGACTTTTACCATGAGAGAGAGACTAGAGAGTGCAGTCACTGTGACGAGGCTGAACCAATGAAAACCTCCCACGTGGAAATTTCAACAAGACGTAACGCGAGTAGCTAGCGGCTTCCCGATCCACGCGCGCTGTTAAAGGAAACAAACTGCGGAATATCGAGTCACGTGCGTGACGCCCTGCCATGTTTGTCTCGTTCCCTTCCTACTTTGCTTCTCTCCTTTTCTTCTTCTTCTTCTTCATCTGCTTGCTTTAAAAACCCCTCTCAGATTTTGCATTTCATCGCACCACACTATTCACTCTCCCACCCCGCTCCCTCCCTTTTCTCCCTGCGTGTGGAAAAAAAATGGCGTCTAGGGTTTCAATTCTCTTCTTCGTCTCCGCTCTCGTTCTGATCGGCGCTGTTTCGGCGGCTGAGGAGGCCGAGTCCAAGGAGTTCGTGCTCACACTCGACCACACCAATTTCACTGACACTGTCGCCAAGCACGATTTCATCGTCGTCGAGTTCTACGCTCCATGGTACGATAAACGATTTCGAATTCGGCTCTTGTTTTACTGATTCAGTTTTTGATTTGCTTCGCCGTTGCTGGTGCAAATCTGGTTAAATTCTGCTCTGGATTGTTTGGATCTCGCTCCTATGACGTTTCTGATTTGCGATTGAGCTCGTCTGTATGATTTGGGCTTAGTGCCTTTTGGTTTTCAATTTTCTGTTGTGGATCTAGCAGTGTCCTTTGCTTCAAAGCTAGTCTGTTCTTGTTTGACTTGATCAGTCAATAGAATCGCATCAGTTTTAGTGGTTCAAGGGTCGTCTTTTTTGTTATCCCTGAATGCGAGTTGCTCTGATTGCATGCAGCGGTTGAATTGTTAGTGCTATCAATTTAAGTCGTTTGAGAGTGGTCGAATTCTAAACCACTCTCAAGACAGATGAAGACATTAGATGCTTTGTGTAAATTTTCCTGTTAATGGCGGCTGATTCGTGTCCTGATATTGTGAATAGGATTTCATTTTGTTCTTGTCTTGTCTAAGAATTTGAAATTAGCAAAGAAAACTTGTCATAATTTTGACCGTTTCTTGGCTTGTTACAGGTGTGGACACTGCAAGAATCTTGCTCCAGAGGTAATTAAAACCTTGTATTTCGTTCTTTGAGACAGTCCGGATTCGCTATAGAGAATGTGTGAGAATGTTGTGAAAATGGATGACTGATGGGACCTGATAACTCTTACTTGCAGTATGAGAAGGCTGCGGCGGCATTGAGCAGTCATGATCCCCCAATCGCCTTGGCAAAGGTAGATGCCAATGAGGAGGCAAACAAGGAGCTTGCCACACAGTATGAGGTTCGGGGGTTCCCAACTCTGAAAATTTTGAGGAATGGAGGGAAGGCAATTCAGGAATATAAGGGTCCTCGTGAAGCTGACGGTATTGTTGAGTATTTGAAGAAACAGAGTGGTCCTGCTTCAGCTGAGATTAAATCGGCAGAGGATGCCAGTACTCTTATCGATGAAACTAAGATATTTATTGTAAGTTTCGAGCTTTATATTCTCTGTCTTGTCTTGGTGAAGTTTTGTAAATGACATTGGAGGGTAAGTGATCTCTTGTTCTTGTCTTTTCAGGTTGGGGTGTTCCCGAAGTTTTCTGGTCAGGAGTTTGAAAACTACATGGCTTTGGCCGAGAAGTTGCGGTCAGAATATGAATTTGGTCACACTACCAGTGCCAAATTCCTTCCGCGTGGTGAATCGTCTGTGACTGGACCGTTGGTTAGGTTGTTCAAGCCATTTGATGAACTCTTTGTTGATCATAAGGTACGTGTCAATTTTTGTGTTGTATGCAATCTAATAATAGTTGTTGCTATTTCTAATTGGAAAAGCGGCACTAGGATGGTTGGAAGTTTATAGTTGGCCTGCAATATTATTTGCCAAATAACGAAGGGTACCCTTTGTCGAAATGGGTACCTTAATTCAGAATTTGACATAATAACAGTGTGGACAATGTAGATGTTTTGTTAAGGTGATTGTTTACATGGATTCATACTAGATGCTTCATTTTTGCTTGCAGGATTTTAGTTCAGAAGCTCTGGAGAAGTTTGTTGAGGAGTCCAGCATACCCATAGTGACTGTTTTCAATAGCGACCCAAACAATCACCCCTTTGTTATCAAGTTTTTTAACAGTCCCGAAGCCAAGGTATGGGCTGTAGAAATTAGTGGCATTGCTTGCAAGATTTCCTTTAATACAATGCACTGTTACATCCTTTCATCTACTGAAAACCTCTTTTCATTTTTGACAGGCTATGTTGTTTGTGAACTTCACCAATGAGGCTGCTGAATCTTTCAAGTCCACATACAAAGAAGTTGCTGAGCAATACAAGGGACAAGGTATTATCTTTTTGATTGGAGATGTTGAATCTAGTCAAGGCGCCTTCCAGGTTTGTTACACTCTTCACTTGTTCATTCTTGTTTGACTGGTAGTATTTTCCCTGTGCACTTGAAGAATGACCGTGTTACTGTTTGTTGGGACAGTTCTTTGGACTTAAAGAAGAACAAGTGCCCCTTCTCATTGTACAAACAAACGACGGACAGAAGTACCTGAAGCCAACTTTGGGTGCGGACGATATTGCTCCTTGGCTCAAGGATTACAAGGTAAGCTTGGGAACATGAACGTTTCTATTTAATGCCATGGTGAAACTGTCAGGGAATGGTAACTTGTGCTTTAACTTGTAACCTCACGACCCGTGTTCAAATTCATCTTCTGCAGGAAGGCAAAGTTTCACCGTATAGGAAATCCGAGCCGATTCCAGAATCTAATAACGAGCCTGTGAAAGTTGTAGTTGCCGATACCCTACAGGAGCTTGTTTTCAACTCCGGGAAAAATGGCAAGTCATAAATCCATGGAGAACTCTGTAGCTTTGTCCCTTCCTGTTTCATGGGTTCTGAATATTCTGGAATGTCATGTTCTTTACAGTTCTACTGGAGTTCTACGCTCCATGGTGTGGGCACTGCAAGAAGCTAGCTCCCATTCTGGACGAAGTTGCTCTGTCCTTTGAGAAAGATTCTAGTGTGCTCATTGCAAAACTTGTGAGTAGTCTTTTCTCTCTTCTAGACTTGGTGAAAGTAGATGTTAAAGAAAAGAATAACTGGTACGCTCGATTGCTGAACGGTGTACTGAGACATTTGAATTGTTGTTTTAGGATGCAACTGCAAACGACCTCCCCAGTGATACATTCGATGTGCAAGGATACCCGACTGTGTTCTTCCGATCGGCGAGCGGGAACTTGGTGCAGTACGAAGGGGATAGAACCAAGGAAGACATCATCGAGTTCATCGAAAAGAACAAGGATAAACCAGCAGTTGCCCAGCAACAACAGCAGGAAGAAGTATCCAAGGAGGAACCAGCAAAAGATGAGCTCTAAACTAGCTTCTGCTCTTAGGAGTTCTGTGTTCATTTCTCCTCTGTATCAGTTTTGGGCAAGCAAAAACAAAATCTAGTCGGTAGTTTACCCTTCTAACTCTGCTGTCTTAATAATAAAATGTTAGCTAGCCTAGCCTCTATAGGTTTTGTAGAAACAGAAAGATGTTGCCTAACGTGAGTTCTCTGATCTTTCCCTCACTTCCTAGTTGTGCTTGCCTGTTCGGTAAACCTACTATCACTCTATCAGCCATTCCCGTAACGAAAAATGTGGGTCAATAGTTGAGGCATCAATCGGGTAGGTTCGAGTTGGGTTGAGTTGGGTTTAGTAGGAGGAATGTAGGTTATGCATTTATCAGGTTGCGAGTCAATTGGGTAGGTTTGCGTCGGGTTTAGTCGGATTGTTGGTTAGGAGTTATTAGGTTGTGAGTTAGTTGGGTTTGGGTTCATCGGGTTGTGGATTAGTCGGATTGCAAGTTAATTGAGTTGTGGGTCAGTTGGGTTATGGTTAATTGGGTTGCAGATCAGTCGGGCTACGAATTGATTGGGTTATAGGTCAGTCGGATCGAGTCAATCAAGTTGCAGGTCGATCGAATTACGGGCAAGTCAAGTTATGAGTCTACCACATCTCTGCCTCCAAATCCCGGAGATAAACCAGCTCCATAAAACCCCAATCAACAAGCCATCAAAACATTATTTTGTTCAGCAATGGAACTTACCCAGTCTAGCATACCACTCCACTCCTCAGGCGAAGTAAATCTGTTTATTAAAGAGCACAACACAGCCCTACAAAAAGAACACTTGCAGAACAGGTCCTCTCTGGTTTCAGGTTCAGTGTTGCATAGCTGCACTTGTCTTCATAAACAGTCCCCCAGACCTTCAACTTCTTTGAAAGGGTATATATGTCATCCAATATTGGGTGATTGCAAGCAGGGCAGATGAGTTCCTCAATTTGCATGGAATCTGGCTCTATTTCTTCAAAATTCTTTGTCACAAATAACTGTTGGTAGAACTTTACTGCTGCATCAGCAATTTCACCAGTATCTGTTATTTCCTCCCTTGTCTCCAGGACCAATCTTCTAATCTGTTTTCTTGCTTTCCTTATTTTGATAGTATATGGTGGGGAAAAAGATGTATTATAGTCTCCTAGATTCTGCAAGTTTACTTGTGATTTGTGCCTATAAAAGCTCTCTTCCTCCTTTTGTAGGCTCTCTCTCCTTAGTAAATGATGCTTGATCAGGGGATTCCAAAGCCTTCAATTTAGGAATGGCAATGGGCAGGTCCGGGGGGTTTCTTGGTACACAGACCCGCCCCGTGGCAGGTCGGATTCAGGTCGGGTAATTTATCACGGGTCGTAGGTCGGGGCAGGTCGACCCATTGGGTATGGAATTTATATGAAAAATATTAGAAATATTGGTTATTTTTATTATAAGATTAAGAAAACTAACAATATTATGATAAATGTAGTTTCTTGGAGAAATTGAGGTTTTCACTAATTTACAACTTTATTATAGCTAAAATATGATATAATAAAAGGAAAATCCTAAGTAACTTGACTAAAATTACATGTAATTTAGGAAAGAACGGGTCGAGAATGGGGCGGGTCAGGGCAGGCCGGGTCGATGAGAGTACCCATGCCCGCCCCGCCTATGGGGCGGGTCGGACCCGCCCCAAAACAGGCCAAACAAATCGGGTAAAACGGGTCAGGTCGAAATTGCCATCCATACTTCAATTCCTTTTTAGCAACTTTAGCTTGTTCCTCACTTTTTCACAAAGAACAGGGTTAACTAGCATCCCATAGTGGTCAGGAAAATTTGGTGCCAGATATTTCACTGCACCGAAGTGACATTTGGATTGGGACCAAACCGTACCAAAGTAGACTAATGCAATATAGGTTCAATTCTCATGAACATTGGTCCGGACCGGGCCGAACCATTGCACCCCTAGCTTGTCCGATCGAACCGGGTCGACAACAATGTACTCTTTTTATTTTTATAATTCTAATGAACAAACAATTATTCAAGTAGGAAAAATCCTTTTTGACTTTTCTAGGTGGCAGTTAGTGCGGAAGGTGAAACAGAAATGTCATTGTCCTAGTTCATTACCAGACTTCTTCTAGTCATTACTCTTGCCCCAAACAAGAAAACAAACGCAACAACGCCACGCCCCCCTGCAAAAACCGGCTTCCGCCTTCTCCTACCTGGCTACAGCTACTCGCAAGCTTCAATTCTGCAGTCTCTTCCGCCACTGCAGCTCGCAAGTAGAATTCATCCCCCCCTATTCATTCCATTTGCAGAAGCATGGTGGATTCGAAGGTGGAGACCATTTCGAGACTAGCCCAGTGGAGGATCGAGAACTTCGGTCCTTGCTCGTACAAAAAGTCCGATCCTTTCAAGGTCGGCATATGGAATTGGTTAGTCTCTGGGTCTTGTTGGTTTTGCTCGAAATTGGGTTTTTTTTGTGTGTGACTGATTGCCTAACACTTTTTCGGTTTTGTGTCCACAATCTGTTTGTGAATTTTCCTCACAGGCACTTATCCGTGGAGAAGAATCGGTACCTGTACGTTCGTTTGTTTCCGGAGCCGTCGAGGGCATCCAAAGAGCAGCCTCCGATCGCGCGGTTCGTTCTCAGGGTGTCGTCCAATACCGGCAACAATCGGAGGCCTTATATTTCTCCAAGTAAGCTTTAGTTCAAAGCTAGCTTTTTTTGTTAATGGATTCGTGCTTTCTATTTTGTTTCTCTGTTTAAATAATTGGCACAATGACGGACTAAGTTGCTTGGTTCATATGACTTCAGAAGAATCGGTTGCTTAGATTAATGGCTAATGATCTAGGAGGGTGGGGGTATGGCGGGGAAGGGGAGAGGAGATGAGATGGATGCCGGTTCTCTTGCACCTTTTTGCTTTCTGAGTTCTGTTTGGTTTGCTAGTACAGATGCTAGAGATGTGAATATTCCTATTCTTCTATGGATTCTCAAGTCATTGGCATTCCTGAAATGACTGTTTATGCTTGTAATATATTGATAAAGCAGCACAATTGCGTTAGTGCTATCCGGCATATGGAACTTTTTGACAGCTTATCTTGTAGGGTTTCTGATAATTTCTCCTTTATATCTTAAGAATCGCCTTTTTTGTGATGGATATGAGGGTACTTGTTGTGGATTGTGTATTGCTCAATTTGGAGTCAGTGGATGTTGACCTGCAATATGGCAGATAGATAACACTTCAATTTCTTCTCTATTTGTCATCACTCATTAGTTGCTCCTTGTGCAACAACTCGTCTCTTGTTTTAAGATGCATCTTCATTATATGATTCAGCATAGCAATACACAAATGATTCATGGCTCCTTTTTTTCCATGTAGTTCATGAGAGATTGCTTCGGACGTGTGATGATTTCGTGTGGCCTGTTGACAGCTCCTTTCAAGGTCGCTTCATCATTGATGTAGAGTTCCTTGATCTCAAGATCTGCCCTCTTAATGTAAGGACTTTCGAAGAATGGTTAAAGTAGTTCCTCTTACTTCATAATTATTCAGGTCGTGCTAGATGGTTTTACTCTTTTTGCATTTCTAGTTGACCAAGCTAAAGATGCCAATACCTGGAAGTTGTGTTTAATATTGCGGTCCACTTGTGAAGTTGCGAAAGTTTAGCTACCAAAATGCTAGGCCTAGATATTTAGGTGCTAAAATGTAATCTGGGCACGATTTATTTTATTAAAAAGTGTACGGAAGTTTGGATTCTGAGTGGAATGGGGTTTTCTTTATAGTAGTCACCACTGATCTTTCATTGATGTCATATACTAGGACACTTAGTATAATTCTGTCAGTTAGGTTAGTTTTCGAGCGAATGATTGTGCATGTATCTGAAACACAGGGTGGTGAAAGCTGTTCAGTATGGCCTACCGACGGAGCAATGCAATCTACCTCAACTCAGAGCACACTCAGATGTCTCTCCCGGATGCTGGATGAAGGAATCCATGCCGACGTCACCATCAACACCGCTGAAGGTGGCACCTTGAAAGCTCACAAGGCAATCCTCTCTGCGAGTTCGCCCGTTTTTCAGAGCATGTTCCATCATGATCTCAAGGAAAAGGAGTCTTCCACCATCTATATCGGTGACATGTCGCTGGAATCATGCGTGGCTCTCCTGAGCTACCTGTACGGGACAATCAAGCCGGAGGATTTCTGGAGGCATCGGCTCTCGTTGTTGGGCGCTGCAAACAAGTACGACATCGCTGCTCTCAAAGACGCCTGTGAGGAAAGCCTGTTGGTGGACATCACTTCAGGGAATGTACTTGAGAGACTGCAAGAGGCGTGGCTGTACCAGCTGGATAAACTGAAGAAAGGCTGCTTGACGTACTTGTTTGATTTCGGCAAGATATACGACGTGAGAGAAGAGATCAACAGTTTCTTCAGGCAGGCTGATAGGGAGCTGATGCTGGAGATGTTCCAGGAGGTGCTGACAGTATGGAAACCGGTGTAGTCTGATTTCGGCTCTGCTTCCTCCTGAATATGAGATCTAATTATGGTCCGAGGGTTTGTACAGTGATTCTGCAACATCTGGTTGGATTGCGTGTCTGAATATTGGACGTTTCCTCGTTGTTATGTATACAATACAATGTGATCTTGGTTGTTACTTGCTAGCAGCCAGAATGTTGTAGTGTAATTAGTTAGCATTGATAAACTAGTGATCTGTCGACAGTTTCGTGCATCAGTGAGTGCTTGTATTTTGATGACTTCCAAATTCCCATTGTATAATGTCTCCTAGTTCCTGCGTATGAAATAAAACAGGAAATCCGAGTTAGAATGAATAAGATATGGTCCGATTAAGAAAACTAGGGAAAATAAATTATTTTAATTCTTCATCCTTAGATCTGCCGCCACTTAAATGAAGGATCCAAATTTGGTTACTCATAGTTATACAGGCTAAGGTTATACACCCTATTTTGAGCCTTGTCTCTCTGGTTTCTACTAGGGCTGTTTGATTTTACCCGAAACCGGACCGTATAACCCGGACCGGGACCGGATAGCAAACAATCCAATCTCATATTCGGGCTTAGATTTGAGATAAAAAAAATCGGATAAAGACCGGATAAGAGACCCCAACACTCAAATCCCCACAAGCTCAATCTAAAATCAAGATCAAATTGGGACCGGACCGGGTGATGACCGAACTATATCCAATCTAATCTTTGGTCATTATATTCCCAAAAAAAATGGACTGGAACCGGATCAATTTGGTCCAATTTAACCGGATCGGAGCGTATAGCCACCCAGTTCTACTAAAAAGAATCTGCACCATGCTAAGCCCTTTATTTGGGCAAACTGCAGCCAGAAGCGCCCAGAAGGCCAGAAGCCTCCAGCAGCTAATAGCGGGCATAGTTTAATACTCTGTTGGACACTCCCTTCCCCACTCCAATCGAGCTTCCACCGCGAAATCCTCCCCCGCCGCATCCAAATTCCAAAAACCATCAATTACAAAGAATCATGTTCTTCTTCTTCGCCGGAGGCGTCAATCAGCAAGTCCGGCGGGTCCTGAAACAAGGCGCCGGCAGGTGCATCAGCTGCGCCTCCCCCGCCGTAGATCTCGTCGAATACGACAAGGTCCTCAAGCTCTTCTTCGTCCCCGTCTGGCGGTGGCCCGGCAAGCAGCCTCTTATGCACTGCAACGACTGCAATCTCTTCTTCCCCAGCTCCTATTCTCCTCCTCCGCCGCCGCCGTCGCAACTGATCGCGGACAGTCCGAGGTGCCGATTCTGTGACCGGGTCCTCGAGCCCGAGTTCAAGTTCTGTCCTTTCTGTGGCTCTTCTCTGTGATACGTTTTCCCTTTCCTCTCCGTGTTTGTAATAATTGACAGAATTTGCAGAAACTTATTTTCCGTTCTCGTGTGTATACGTTTCGATGAGTTTTCTTTTCTCTGTTTTGGGAGCTTTCAGTTGAGCGATTTCTGAAGAGTTTTTGGAGTTCATGGGATTCTAGGAAGAACAAAATGTACCCTTTGCATTGGTAAATCGATGTTAGTATGATGATAAATACAACGAGATGTTCCTCTCCATTTCTTGAAACCCCTAAAACCAAAAATGTAAAAAAAAAGGACTGTACACAAAAATCAGCCATCGTAGTGTACAGTTGGATGCTCACAGAACCCTGAAACAGTTTACATCTGTTCATCCATTCTCTGCTGTCGCAATGAATTCCAACTTGGGCCTAGCTTCATCAACACGTCAAAAACTGGACTGCATTCTTGCACATTGTCGATCATTACGCGAGCCTTGCCAATCGTTATTTGTGCTTCGTTGGACGAGGGAAACAGCTCCAGAAAAAAGGTCATAAAGGGAAGCCAAAAATCCCAAGATAGTGAAACCATCTTCCCAGGGTTTTAAGACGACTCTTCTTTATGTTGATTTGCTGAAGGGTAATCGCTTTTCACCTCGGTTGACCGCATCTCTCCATAGCCTGTATCTTACTCCTAGCTTATCATATGAGACCGGGAAATTCCAGACATCAGCACCATTGTTCATTCTCTCCTGCTGCCCTAGCACAAGCCGCAAATCCTCGTTCAGAACCTGTTGCCAGAAAATCTTCAAAAAGATCAGAGAGGGGTGACTTGTACAATTTGGAACTAAAAGGCATGTTTTATTTGTGGATTGTTTTCTCAGACCTGCTCAGCGAAATGTCTCCATAAATGTTGCATGAATGGGACGTGCTTTAGCAGAGGAGCGAAGTCGAGGGACATTCTGTAGAGTAGTCTCGTCTTTCCTCTAGTCGAAGGTAAGCAGACATGGAGCTGGTGAAGGTGAGTGGCACATTCCCTAGTACTTTGGCCCTCCAGTTTTCCAGGTTTGGAGATTCCGATGGTGGACAGCACCATGCAAGGCGGTCGAAATTCCATGTCGATAGGGTAAGGGTCCCAGTATCCTTGTAGCCCAGATGCCGGTGTCAGGAACTTCACCAGGCTGAAAATTTTCGACAACAACACAAGAATAGAAGGTGAGGTTGAAGCAAAATCGATTCCAGTGCTTTCTTCACTTCAGATGCAAGCTAAAGTACAATCAACTCCCAATATACCAAATGAAAAATTATGTTCAGTAATCGTGTCAATGCAACTAACCTGGGAACACTCCAACCCTTGGCGAAAGTAGATGTGTGAGTAAAAGGTGCGTGCGCGAGATCCAAAAGGTTGTCAAGAAGTAGCCCATGTTCCACTGGAAGTTCCATGACTATCTGTCACGAGGCAGGACATCAGGAAACTGAGAATGCTTCTCTACAATGTAGGTCTACCAACAAAATGAGACGAACTAATATGAAACATACCTCGGCATGAATTTGGAAACCTGGTGGAGGTTTCAAGGAAGGAAGATTAGGGGCTGGAGGGTCGGTACCAGGCCAAACCCAGATCATGCCTTCTTGCTCAAAACATGGCAGTGACTTTAACTTCACATTCACTAGTCTAGTAGACGGCATCTTCTCACACGTTCCATCAGTTGAGTACTCCCATCCTGACAATGCATAATCATTTCATTGTTAGTTAATGTTGTTATTTAAGATGACAACATAAATAATTTTCCATGATTGTCAGTAACTCACCATGGTAAGGACACTGAATTCTACCCTCGTTCACCGAACCTAGGTCAAGCGGACATGCTCGATGTGCACATGTGTTCTGGACACATCCTGGTCTGCCATCTTTCCCGCGGAAAACAACCCAAGGTTTCTCAAAGCAATCAAATGGAATCTGAAAACAAAATTTAGATAAAAATGATACACTGCATAATGAGAAATAAAATAGCATTAGACGATTAAGAAGCAAACTTGATTACCATTGTGTCATCCTTCAAGTCGGTGGAGAAAGCAACTGGGTACCAGAAGTTCTTTAGATGAGGATGGTATGGCTGGACAGGACCTGAGACATTGAAACTTTTCCTGGGTGGTTTTCTTTTCACGATATTGGCGGGTGGAGTGGCAGCCGAAGTAGAAGGAGACGCTTGGTCAGTTCCTACTGTAATGCTTCTATCTTGTAACAGCTTGTCATTCACCAACTCTTCCATGTACGCTAGTTTATCTAAAGCAGTAGCTACCCTTGCTTCAGATATATGTACCTGGAGGACAAATTATGTCAGCCATCACAAAGCAAATGGAAGGACATACAATCCCTTAACCGAACAGAAAATTTACCAACCTGTCTGTGAGCTTGGGTTAAGTCTTCTTGCAACTCAGCTAGCTCCTTCTTCATGGTGCCAATTGATTTATATTCTCGTGCTAAGGGATTCAAAACTTCCACAACCTGATCAAAATGCAAGGTCCAGAATCAACATCTGTCCACTTCAGGCAAGTACAGAGAATCTATTGCAGTAACGCATATAAAATGAAGAACAAATGAAACATGTGAAATGGGACCTTCTCGTGAAGTAGCATGATCGTAAGCAGATCCTGACGAGCTCGCCAATCACAATACTGAATGTCGAATCTAGCTACTTCAAGTGCTTGGTTGGCATCCAAGAACTTGCCTTTACATTGTGGCATCTTAGACCTCGGATCCTCCACTTCGAATAGAGCCCCCCATTGACTCTTCTTTTCCACCAATCCCCCACCCTCATCCCCGAACACTGCAAACACTCCGATCCTTGCTTTGCAACTCTGCAAAGATAGATATCCACTCATTACAACTAGAACCAATAAACCATATGCAATTTCAGAAAGACTCTGTCAATAGCCCTAACAAAACTAGCGCTGGAATCTGAATGTGCGGTTCCAGAAACTACATCACAATCCAACTAGAGAAACCCAGTATACAATAGAAATCCATTTTAAGTTTCCCACCTTGCCACTAAAATTTTTAGTTCGTTCTACTAACCTTTGGATTAAAAAACCATCTCATGACCCATATGGTCGTTACAGCAGGAAATCTCTCCCAAATAAGCTAGAAATTCGGACCCAGTACACATAATTGAGTTCGTAGCACAAACCCACATAACTGAGTTCATACCAAAACTTTGAAGTAGCATGATCGGAGCTCATCTCCCAATTTGACAAACCAAAAGCAGAGGAAACTTGAACCAGTCTAAGCAAAGCTAGCAGTGATAGACGTCAGTACCTTTCTAACTTGGAACTTCGATGATCCATACAAAGAAATGGGGACGGAGAGAGCTGCGAAAGTGGCAACAGGGGTCATGGCGTCCTGGGAGCCGTCAGAATAAAGAAAAGCAGAAGGGGGGAAGAAGAAAACCCAGATGACCGGAGGAAGAAGGAGCAAGGGGAAAAAAAATCCAGAAGCGAAAGGAGAGAAAACTATGCAAAGAATCGTATTTTGGAAGGTTATAGGATATGATAAGCGGTGTGAGTTTCCCGCGATCTGAGATGGCCTGCCAGTGAATGCCACGTGGAAGAGCGTGGACTGACTCGACCGCCGCGTGGCAGGGAGCTCCTCCACAAGCTGGGACGGCTGTGAGACGAGAGGTGTGTGGTGTGGGGCCCTCTATATCTTGCCAGCTCGGACTCTGTAGATATCAAACTCTATCCCTTCCGCGTTAAATCGTTTATCTTTGTCCATTTCCTTCCCTTATCAGTTCTAGCTTACTTTCTTTCTCAATTTTTCTATCTATTCAAATGATTACAATGGTAATCACCAAGCCAAATAATCCTAAATTTTATTAATTATGAAATACAATATCATAATTAAATCGTTCAAACTAATATAATAATTAAATTAATCAAACTAAAGTTTAATCGGTTTGATTAATTGGTTAATCGGATTAACCATTATAACATCACATTATTGTTAAGTGAGAAAATTTGCTGGTTAATGCATCAATTCATAATTTATATAATGAATAAAATATAAGAAGTTATAGTTAACTCTTAATATACATACATGCATCTAATACAATTATTTTACAGTCAATAGAAGTACTCACCTAACAAAAATATATGTCAATGGTATGTGGTTAATGAATTTTTGTGTTTGTGTGAATTGACTTGTCTCTTAGCAATTATCATAGGTTGAAAAAGACATTTTGTTCAAGTTTCATCTAACATAATGTATAAGTTTTTATCTAAATGAGGCATTCATATATCATGGTCATACACTCTACGAATACAAATATATAGTATATGAACAATATTGAGTTTTATTTTTTATGAGCCTAAAAGGGAGGAGCTTTTGGTTCTTGAGCGGTTATGCAAAGTATTAAGTATGTGTATATAATATATATTAGATATATGACTAATTACTTAATTGGTTAATTTGGTTTTATTGGTTAGGAGTGTCTGAAACCAAAGCATCTAAACCAAACAAGCTAAAAAATTTAACCAAATCAAATTATTCAAATACTACCAGTTAAAACGGTTACCACGGTAACCAATCAGTTTGTCCTTACCTTCTAGCTTTCTTTCTTTCTTTCTTAATTTCTCTTGGTTTGAACATAGCTAGGGTGCGCATAGTTAGTGATGACATTTCGACAAGATGGGTATCTCAATACTCATATTCATTCTGCATTAAGTGTGGTTTGCATATGGTAATACCTGTGTAGGTACCGCGGGGGGGGGGGGGGGGGGGGGTTCGACAAATAAAAAATATATACAAAAAATTTCTTATATGATGAAACGAAGAGAACACTTTATGAATGAATTATTGTGATAATAAAATGGGTAATTGAGTCAAACTGGTTGAAAGATGAAGTATAACTTGTTGAAGAAAATTCAAAATAAGAGAAATATGAATAGATATGATAAGAAATAGAGATAGAATGGGCCAAGAACGGGGTTGGGTGGATCATGGTGGGTTAGAAGTAGATACCCATGCCCCGCCCCCACGCTAATGCTAGTCGTATAATTCATGCACATCACCGACCAGGTTGGGTAATACCCGATTGGGCTGGTTCAAATTGCCATCCATACGCATAGTCTTACATATTGTTTGCTTGTTGAATTTGAAAATGAAGGTTTTGATTAAAATTTCAATTTTGAAAAATATTGGATTTATGGGATATTAGTATATTATCGATTTGAAAAAAAAATAATGCTAGCTATTTTGCTCAGGTCCGACACCCGAAACCCGATGGCGTACCATTGTACCCGAGCTCACATTTGAGCTCGACACCCAATCCCACTATTGCGCCCAACACCAAGGAGTGCTTCGCAGCTATGAAAGGTCATTCCCTATTATGAAGAGTGTTGGCAAGGTAGAGGTGCCCTCGCATTTGGAGATCCACATGGTTATCATGAGAGCCAACTCAAGGCTTTTAATGAAGACAAGGAGGATAAGCAACGGGCAGAGTCACATCGGGCACCAACACTCATCACCAAGACACAAGAGCATGAAGTCGAAGGGATCATGGCCCATCGTGTCATTCCTCGTCGTGGTGTGCATCCGAGTCATGTGGAGTATTTGGTCAAGTGGTGGAACCTTTCGGAAAGCGAGGCTAGTTGGGAGAATGAGCTCACGCTATGAAAGGACAAAGATTTGATTGAGGCTTTCCATCATAAGGACGCGACGAGGGCGTCGCGAGCATAGGTTGGGGAGAAGGTGACATGTGGCAGATGACATTGAGATAACATGGTGACAACATGGCGCTTTGCACATGTGGCGTGTAAGGAAGACTAGAAGCATAGAGATGCCTCTAGGATTCTCCACCTTTATGAGCTTAATGGTGCAATAATGAGTCACATTATGGGTGATATTATGAGAGTGCATTATTTGTGGTGGTGGGGGGGGGGGGGGGGGGGAGGGACTTGATAGGTGTAGTAAAGGGGAGGGACCATTATGAGGGGGCATTGATGTCTTGTATGAGGAGAGACCCATATAAGGAGTCATTTATCTCACTTGTAACTCATTCCATAATTTTTTAGGTGGATCTGTCCTACACGATTCTCTTCAGTTGATCTCGTGCTTTCGCTTGATGTAATTTTTAGGGCAGTTCCTTGAGTCGTCAATAGGGCTGCCCATAGAGTGGCACGTAAATCTCTTTCTTTGTCTTTGTTAGAGTTGGCGTATTTTGATTATAATTCTTGTCTATAGATGCAGGAAGGGAGGGGTTGTTCTTTTTATTGTTTTTTTTCTTGACATTTCTCTGTTAAAAAATGTAATTCTCCTCTTTCTTAAGTCATATTATTCATTAAACGTGGCACGAGGAATCTATCGGCGACGCATAATTGACATAATATTGCATATCATGACAAACTCCTTTTATCAGTGCAAAAAGTTTCAAATTTTGAGTTAAAGCCAAATGATCGTTGAAAATTGTAGCGAGTGATAAAAAACCATTTCTGCAAAATATGTAAAAAAATAATATAATGTTGTAGCACAATTTTCCCCCAAAATTTGAGTTAACCAAAGAAATACAGGTGGATTTAAAAAATAAGTAAATTTACCAAGTTTTTAATCTCTTGTATCATATTTTGCTACACTCAAAATTAAGAGACCAATACAATTATGGACAAAATTAAGGGGCACCCTAGCATGGTTGTCAAACCACTGGTATGTGGTATGTCGGTGAGTATAATCAGGCTCAACCGGTTGTGGACAAAAACTTGTTGGAAGATCATCGGTAGTGGTGCTTGCTAGTGGCTTCTGGATTTCCTTTGTGTTTTTTGTTTTTCAACTACCCTTTGTGTGCTTTTGCTATAATCTGTCATGGTTCTATCTCTTTCGGTTCCATAGCTTTGCTTCAGCTCTGAGCAATCTGGTACAATCTTCTCAACAATCGGGTAATCGAGATTTAGTGATTCACTGAGATGAGTCGTCATCGAGCAACTCTCAGGAGGCGGCACATAGTGTTGTTGTGTTCAACTGTCCTGGTCAATCTTGTATTCGACGAGCTGTTGCTTTGCTTTTTGCATTCTGATGAACGATGTTACAAGGAGTGGTTTGGATGCTATGTCTTCGACTCAAGAAAGAATGGGCTCTTGTGTGGTCCGATGATGCTTTATTCTCCTTTGTTTTGTGTCTCTCCTCATATATTGGTGTGACTCTTCTGGATATTGATTTTGTATTTCTGGCTTCATTTGCACAATGTAATCCGCTCTTTGTAACTGATTTTTATTTTATATGCAATATAAGCTACCCTTGGGGGGACATCTCTAAGATTGTCAACTGCGGGCGACTCGTCATTAACCTGTTTTGATCCTGACTCGGTGAGAAAAACATGCCACACTCACCCACGGGTCGACCCGCTGCAAGGTTATCGGGTTGGAGGTCACATAACGTCGTTTTTTCCCTTTGCTTTGTGAAAAACGCGTCTTTTTCGATTTTCCACTTTGCCTACCCTATCTTTGGAATTCTAGTTGAACATTGGAATATTAATATTATATAAGTTTGCATGAATTTTTTATTATATGTTGGATCAAAGTACGATATGTTATTTTGATTTAATGTTGTATGATATTACTAAATGAAATTTGATATAATTTATAAATGTATAAAAAATATAATAATTTTTTTTTATATATTCGAACTAATCGAGTTAAAGTGGTCGAATCATCAACCGTCTCAACCGAACCGGAACAACGCACTAAACTGGTTGATACTTGATACCCTTGCCGAGAATAAAGGGCAACAAAATTCCAGCCGACATCCGAGAGCCTAATGCTGAAGTGAAAAAACGGATACAAGAACAAAATCCACATTCAGCGGAGCCAAGCGCGTGAAAATTCGTCGAGATTCCCATCCCATTTCTCATTCTCCAACTATCTATCTTTTGGCACAGAAGCGGAAAACCAAATCCGGAAAATAGGAATGGCAAGGCCGGCCCAGAGCCAAAACGACAGCAAGATTGGAAACTTCTTCTTGGCCACTCTGCTGCTGTGGTCAGTTTCAATCGGGTTCGAGATTCTCTTCCACCACCGCACCGAGCTCCTCGTCGTCCTCGCCGGCGCCGCCTTCTTCCAAATCGCCAACTTCGCCATTCGATCTCTCGTCTCCCGCGACCCGCTCTTCGTCAACACCTCCGTCTCGCTCCTCCACTCTTCCATCACTTCCTCCGCAGGTTCAAAGTTGTCTCCTGAATTGTGGGTTTCCAGTTTTCCTTTTGCGTTTGTCGAGGGTTTTTTGAAGTCTTCGTTACATGGTTACTCGCCATTTTTGAGGTAGCGATAGCATCGCGCATTTTGATAGGGTAATAGTTCCGTCGACGTAGCTTAAGTATTATATTCCCCCGTTCTTCCGTTGCATTTTCTGTTGCGATATCATAGGGAAGATGTAATTTTTTCTTTTGGGTTTAGGGTTTGAAACAAAGTTCTACAGTTAGACCTTCCAAGTAAGGATGAGAGCTGTTTATGGACACTCTGTTGAACGGTACATAGGGCTTTCGAGATGGAAACTCGAACCGGATTGATGCTGATATCGATCTGATGAAGTTGGCACTAGCTAGCTAATATCCAGATTAGGGAGAGCAAAGCAAGGACTCAAAAAGCAGTAGGGTTTCCTAATGAGGGAACTTCTGCCTCACAAACACTCTTCACAATGGAGTTTGTCTGTAGATTTCACTTGTGTATGTGTACATTGATGTCGTTAGCAATTTCCATGCTGAAAGTTCGATGTTCCATGGGAACCAGGTTCATTTGTCCTTTTCAAAGAAAGAACTACCTTACAAGACAGAATAATTAGTGGATTGTGAGGTCGAAATGTTTACTATGGTCTCTCCGTCTGCTTCTTCTGTTTTAGTTTGTTTTGACTCTTTTTGTCCCATTTGGTAGCTCCAACAGGGTTGTGTTTGATTTGTATTCAGTGGAATTCTGGATTTTGTTTGATCTACTTCGTCTCTTTTGGTACCTCCAAAAACAGATGCGTTTGACTTTATGCCCAACGGAGTTTGAGATGCTTAAATTAGATATTTTAATGACAAGCATGGTTGTTTAGATGTGTTTGTCTGCAGTTCATTCCATTTGGCTTTTTTTTCTTCTTCTTCTGTTGTTTACTCGCTCTTGTTAATTGGATTCTTGTTACTCTCGTTGGGCAGTGCTGTTGATATTGGCGAATCAAATTTTGCGTACGGGCACAAATGGGATATTCGAGCACTCAGAACTGGTTGGAAGTGCATGGGAGTGGGCGTACCCTGCGTTGTGTTTCTCCAGTGGTTACTTCGCATATGATCAGTTGGATATGCTGATTTACCGACTCTACAGTGGTGCCTTTCCTTCCATCCTGGTGCACCACCTGGTCCTTCTGATCTGCTTCACCCTTGCTCTGTATCGAAATGTTACAATCAACTATCTCATTCTCACCCTAATCTGTGAGGTACGCTTCTTTGTCCTTTTTTCATCTCATAGACTCTCTGTAAAGTTTCATTCTTTATATATCTCTAGGGATTGTCTACTTCAGGGTGTCTTTCGTGGCAAGCAATTGGGTGTTCTACCTTTCAGTAGGCCTTATGCTTCTATCCAATTTTCTCGGTTGAGTGTCCAGGAACCTCATATGTGGTCTTTTTGCAGTAATCATCTGCAGTTTCTGCGTCATATGTTTGTTTGTTCAAGAGCTTTGAAGATGGTTTCTAAACATTAAAGTTAACCCTGGAATCTTCTTATAAGACAAATCAAATTCATAGTAAAATCATTACGCTGCATATGGAAGCGCTCTTGGATTCCAGTTTTGCAGTCCTGAGATGATGACTCTTTGCACAATATTGTTTTCCACAGCTGCACTCCATCTTCCTTCACGTTAGGAAAGTGAGGCGGATGGCTGGCATTCGTGACGCTAAGAGCGTGATCGTGAAGGTGGAATGGATGCTCAACTGGCTGACATTCACCGTCGCGAGAGTGGTGCCTCACATTCTCATAACCATGAAGCTGATCAAAGATGCTCCCAAGTTCGGAAAGGGTGTGGAGTGGCCTCTTGCATTGTTTGGGATGGCCGGAATGAACATACTGAATGCTGGCCTCGGCATCGATCTCGTCCATGCTTTCAGGAGAGAACGAAATCCCCGCACAAGTAGTAGTCGCAACCACCAGGAATGATGATGATACAGATCTCCAGTGGCAAACTGCGCGAACTTTGTGCTGCACGCCCAAGTTCTTTAGATTCTTGTGTTTTTCCCTTTGTGGTTATTATTCTTTTCTTCTTCTTTCTCGTATAATTTATATGTATCTATATAGGGTGAGATATCAGAATAACACTATAACTTGTTATTATGATGCTAATACAAATAGGATCTTTTAAATTTTTAACGTATTATGTATCTTTCATTTCAGCTTTGCTGTTCCTGTCACTTCGAGGAGTAGGAGGATTGAACTGATAATTAGAAAGAGCTCAGTTAGACATGGTTTCTGCACTACTAGCAAAACTCCTTCCAGAATCATGGTTTCTTTCAACTTTCTTACTTCTGTGAACCCTAAGAATTCTTCGAATTCTGAGGTATTGGAAAGCTCTTGGATTGACTAGCTAGTGCAGCCAAATCTATGGCCTCAGTTGTCTTCCCTCCGACCAGGCTAGTACGATTCATTTTTCTTGCCAATTGGACCACTGATTTGTATACAGTGACAAGATTTGGAACAAGATCAATCATCAACATATGGGTTCTAACATGCTGGAAATTCTTGTTGAGACCCAAGTATTGTAAAGTTCATCAGAGTCCTCTAGTAACGAAATCGCGTCATCCACAAAGCTAAATTTGTTTTTGATCTTCAGTTCCACCTCCATAGATTCACTCTATTAACAAGTAATTGTAGTCTGAGTTTGAATTCAAAGAATAGGAGAAAGGAATTCACTCTGGGCAAAGTATTATTGCCCGGGTCTTCAAATGGTGTACAAGAATTCTATACAAGTTTGTGTTGGATCTCCAGGTCTAGAAAGATTAGTCCTCAACTATTTATGTCCTATTGTTATTTTACTCATGGGTTTGCACACTTTTCGGAAATCTTTCAGACCTATGTAAGATAATGTAACTTAAAGGAAATATTTTCGTCGTTAATGTGTTTGCCCGCACTAATTGTATCATATTTGAAAAAAAATGCTATATGCAATGCGGCACATATCACAATCTACTACCCGTCGCGAAGCGCGGGCTTTTCTTACTAGTTAGTTAGTTAGTTCTTTAAAAGAACAAATAATGGTTTCACTGTTCATTAGTGTCAAATCAATGGGAGGCAAAAGTTGATTGTTTAATCCTCCTACTAATTACTAGACTCCTATATTTTTAGTGTCTACTAATTACTACTCCTATATTTTTAGTGTCAAATCAATGGGAGACAAAAGTTGATTATTTAGTCTTCCTACTAATTACTAGACTCCTACTAACCATAGCTTTGAGGAGACTTTATACCATTAAGTTTTCAAGCAATTAAATTATAACATTAAGCTTGAATCAATGTTCAAATCAATTGGTATTCGACCAAGTTAAAGCGAGTTTAACTCGATTTTTACAAATTTTGGGTCGACAACGAGTTTACATGCTTACACGCTTAAATTGACCTAATTCAACCCTTTGTAGTTCTTACACGCTTGAATCAATGTTCAAATAAATTGGTATTCGGCCCGGTTAAAGCGAGAGTTTAACTCGATTTTTACAAAATTTGGGTCGACAATGAATTTACACGCTTAAATCGACCTAATTCGGCCCTTTGGAGTTCTTACACGCTTGAATCAATGTTCAACTGGAATTGACGAATTTTATACGCTCAAAGCTTGGAGCTTTTATGCCATTAATGTTCTAATTAATTAACTTATGTCAATTGAACCCTAATTGAACTCAAATCAATTGGTATTTGACCGAATTCAACCCTTTGGAGTTTTTACACGCTTGAATTAATGTTCAACCAGTATTGACAAAATTTTTGCAACAATGAGTTTTATCCGCTCTAACGTTGGAGTTTTTATGCCATTAAGGTTGTAAATCAATCAATTTATGACAATTGAAGCCTAATTGAACCCGGTTAAAGCGAGTTTAACTCGATTTTTATAAATTTTGGTTAGTTCTTTAAAAGAACAAGTAAGGGTTTTACTGTTCATTAGTGTCAAATCAACGGGAGGCAAAATTTGATTATTTAGTTCTCCTGCTAATTACTAAACTCCTATATTTTTAGTGTCTACTAATTACTAGACTCCTATATTTTTAGTGTCTAATCAATGGGAGGCAAAAGTTGATTATTTAGTCCTCCTACTAATTACTAGACTCCTATATTTTTAGTGTTAAATCAATAGGAGGCAATAGTTGATTATTTAGTCTTCCTACTAATTACTAGACTCCTACTAACCAAAGCTTTGAGGAGTCTTTATACCATTAAATTTTCAAGTAATTAAATTATAACATTAAGCTTGAATCAATGTTCAAATAAATTGGTATTCGACCAAGTTAAAGCGAGTTTAACTCGATTTTTACAAATTTTGGGTCGACAACGAGTTTACAATAACTTTAGAATTTACTCCATCTCTCTCCCTCCACATCTCTCTCTTTGATTGATAGAGATTTAAGAGTAATATTAGACGATGGGTTTTAGTAGTTATTGTTCTAGGTAGTAGTGTTCACATTTCACAACCAACCATAGTGTTTTGCAATGGCCGTTGTTTATATATGTCAGCGATTTCATTCCTTAGCTGATGCCTTTGTAGTAGCAATTTCAGAGACAGAGATAGCGTTTACTTATGGTACTCGTTAATCATGAGTGTATGAGTGTAGCAGTGTTTTACAATGGTAGTGATTTTACATGAGAAAATGGCCAACATAATCTGATTGTTGTCCATAGTGGAGATTGTTACAACCACTACTGCGCATCAAAAACACCACTACATAGAGTAAAAAAGTTAAAAAAAAATACAAAAACACTACAACACTGCAATAAGGCTACAACTTCACAAACGAAATCACTATAATCAAACCACTACTATATAAAAAATAAAAGATATACAGTAATAGCTACCACGAAAAGACTACAACAGTGGGCTGAAAATCAAACAGCTACATTAAAATACCATTCCGCCATAGCAAGCTAACGAGGAGAGCCATGCAAATGGCGGTAAGACGTATATGAAATCAATGTGAATACGAAAAAGAACCGCCAGAGAGGAAAGCCGAAACAGATTAGCGAAGAACACAAACAACTAAGAGCGGGATGATGCAGTAGACTAACGAATCATCGAGCAATGCCAGAGTGATCCAGAAAAGGGAGGATGAAAAGGACAATCGAGTGAGACAGTTTTAATTTGGAAATATGGCGGCGACGAAAGACATATATATCAGAGGTTGAAGGAAATGAAAATAGAGGAAGAGAAGGGCTGGAATTCTTCAGATCCCCCAAAATCCACCCCTCTTCCTGAAACCACGCTTATATAATAAAACCATTAAATATTATATAATACCCAAAACAACCCCAATGCAAAGGAACCGTCAGATTAAAAGAAACAGCCATTGACGGAGCTGATAGAAGTTGGCACGGGTTAGCATCCCATCTCATTCCTTAACGAGCCTTACAAAGCCGAAACAACAACATCATCATCACAAATAATACCAGTAAGCAAATTAAACCCCAATTAACATCGCAACACAACACATACGGCGAACCAAAGAATACAATAATGGCGCCTTACTGCGAGACCCAAGGCGCAATGGACATGGGGAAACCGGCAAAATAAAGGCCGTCGTCCTTGATCTCCCACGTAAGCTCGTGAAGCTTCGGCATCCCTTTCTTTCTCTGGCTTTCGTCGTAGGCGTTGAAAGAAAGATGCTTCTTGCCGCGGGCGGTACTCACGTCACACCAGAAGAGCGTCGTCCCGAAAATGTTACGCGAAAAGCTCCAACTATACACGTCGCCGGCGACCAGGCGACGGGAGCCCAGATCGTCGTCTTTGGATTCGCATCGCACCGTGATCTTGCGGCCTCTGCTCAACTGATTCGAAACGTTGACTTGAAGCCTATACGACATGGAGGAGCTCGGCATTGCGATCGTAGCCAGAAGAATCACCGCCAGTATTTTGGTCAACATTATATATTTTGTTTTTGGGTTGGGAAGGGGACTCCTTTTTTTTTTTTTTTTTTGTGGTTGCTGTTTGAGTTTTTTTTTCTTTTTTGCTGTAATGAATGTGTAATTTAGATCGACAGCCATGGCCTTTTAAAGCTATTTCTTTGGTGCAGGATTGAGCTGGGCGGGGAGAAATGAAACTACGAATGATGGCATATTCATATGAGGGGAAGAATTGGAATATATGTGCAAGTGTAACAATACTACTATTTAGTTTCTTTTTCGGGATGCAAAATAATATGTTTGCTAAGAAGTACCTAAGTTTGAAAAAATTCCCCCAGCTAGCAAAAATAATATATCATAATATTATTGTGTTGTTTTCTGTATATATACCAATTGCACCAATGATGCTTTTTTGTATATATGATGCTTTTTTGTATACTCAATTTGGTTCCATTAATCAACATCTTCATTTAGTGAAGGTATCATGATGGGCGAATTTTGTCCACATGAATATTGTCAAATTGAGTTTGTGTGCGGTTTTCATTCATACTAGTCAAACTATTATGAGTTTTTAAATTAATACCATTTTCATAGCTAAAAATAAATGGGAATCTAATAAGACCTAAAAATACAGGGGCAAAGTGAAAATTTCAAGTTCAGGGGGCCTGAGTGATTTATTACAGTATCAGAAAAATACAAAAGAAATTTATTATAACGACATAACATTAATTAAAATAATCAAAAGCACTAAAATTAAAATTAATTTAAAGTTTTATACTATGCTATGCTCCAAATAAAAAAATTTATACTATGGTAAATAATTATCATGAATTTTAACATGTATTCTTTTATTTTTTTCAATATTTTTATATCTTGTATATGAATTTATGATCATATTAATGTTTATAAAAATTAATGAATTTCATTCCATAAAAAGTCCTTGAAACTATGAATGTAAAAGTACAATCAATTTTGTTATGGTGCACTCACACCATTTTGTGACCACCCATGCTGATATGGTGAGATTGAAGGTGACATCTAGAACCCACGGGTACCCACCCGATCCAACCCGTGTTGACGGGTTTTGAGCCGGGTTTGGGTTTAAACCTGTTCATTATTTACCGGTTGGGTTGAGTTTGGGTTTAGCTAAACCTGCCCCATGGGTACCCGCCCACATCCATATAATTAATTTTTCCGGTATATTTAATATTTAAACAACTAATCTTCTTTATATTTGTGGAGACATGTCTAATTTTTTCTTTCTAATTGTGTGGAATGAAGTGTATATTATCGAGTGGAGAGTGGAGAAGCTTAATTGACAAGGAGGAAAAAGCTTTCAATTAATCATGTTGTTTATGGATAATTTGTGATTTTCTTCAATTTTCTTGAGTTTTCTAGATTGGTGTTGAACAATTTGTATGGTTAATTTGTGATTTGCTTGAATTTTCTAGAATGGTGTTTTATATATGGATAATTTGTATTGAGAGATTGATATTTGACTGTTATTTTTATAGGAACTTGTTATTGTAAATTATTTATGACAAAAACTCATGGGTACCCAGCGGGTTGGGTTGGGTTTGAGTTTTTCAAACCCAGTGAGTTTTACCCCGAGTTTTTTTCACGGATAAACCCATGGGTTTGGGTTTAAATTTGGCAAAACCCGACCCAACCCGACCCAACCCGACCCATTGCCATCCCTACATCTTACTTAAAATTTAGAGTGTGGAATTGTTTGCTTTTGAGATAGGCTTATGTAAGTAAAAAATATGAGTTAAGTACCCCTTTGGTCCCACATTTCTTTCATTTTCTTTCACTTTCTCTCATTTCTTAATCTCTCTTGTACTCGCTTATTTTTAAATACCTATCCAAAGATGTTGAAGACTTCTTTGACCTATTGAATATTTGCTCGACGCTTATTAATATGTGTTCATTTGTGTGGAATATTTTTTAGATTCAAGACATTGGATACAAGATTGGATATTTGGAATGCTTCAAACCAAAGGCTCGAAGTTGCTACGAAGGCTGTTTTTCTGTATAGAAGGCAGCTTACTTCGTAGCAACTTTGAGCCTTTTGTTTGAAGCTTTCCATATATCCAATCTTTCATCCATTGCCTTGCCTTTGTAGAAAAACATACACACTTTCGTGTGGTAGAGGCCCCTAGACTCGCCTCTCATCCATGCTTCTCAAATTGAACTCCAAAGTAGACTTCACAAATACGTTCTCATACTTGGCCATTTTCAGGCAGTTTCCCAGTTTTGGCATAGCCTTTTGATCAGGTTCAAAATGGTCTTCTGGACTTCCTATCGAGCTCCCATGCACTTCAATGTATAGAGGGACACTACAGCTTCAAAATAAGCCATTAATCTCCAATTTACATCAAGCCCATTGTAAGATACGAATCTCCAAAGTAGGCACCATGAAACTGTTTTTACACAAACAACAAATTAGGTCAATCTAATCCTAAATGAGGTCGACCGAAAAGTCAAGTTATGGTGACTTGCAAGGAATCATAGGCGCACCCTATATCATAACCTTCCAAAATATAGTGAGATGTGGCTTTCAATCTCACCTTGTGAGCATGAGTGCTCACAAAATGGTGTGAAGACCATCACAAAATTGAAGTAAAATAGTTGACTGTTAGGTTCGAACACACATCCAATGATCAAATTAAATAGCTTCTCTACTAAAGTGCAAATTGGTTATGGTAACAACTTCTCACTCACACTATACATAGAATTAAACACTCAATTAATTTGTAATTATCCAATTATCCTAAAACTTTATACGTAAGTTCCAAAACGTACATAGCTCCACCCCTGATAAAACAGATAAATAGTAAATATACATATACTTTTGAGAGATATAAATGACTAAAGTGGTCAAGTGAGCGGGTATAGAGCATACTTGTTTCGCATAGTTTTAAAGAGCAAAGTTATTGCACAAAAAAGAGGTCCTGCCACACTATACATAGAATTAAACACTCAATTAATATGTAATTATCCAATTATCCTAAAACTTTATACGTAAGTTCCAAAACCTACATAGCTCCACCCGTGATAAAATAGATAAATAGTAAATATACATATACTTTTGAGAGATATAAATGACTAAAGTGGTCAAGTGAGTACAAAAAAAGGTATACCACACTATACATAGAATTAAACACTCAATTAATATGTAATTATCCAATTATCCTAAAACTTTATACGTAAGTTCCAAAACCTACATAGCTCCACCCCTGATAAAATAGATAAATAGTAAATATACATATACTTTTGAGAGATATAAATGACTAAAGTGGTCAAGTGAGCGGGTATAGAGCATACTTGTTTCGCATAGTTTTAAAGAGCAAAGTTAAAACCTACATAGCTCCACCCCTGATAAAATAGATAAATAGTAAATATACATATACTTTTGAGAGATATAAATGACTAAAGTGGTCAAGTGAGCGGGTATAGAGCATACTTGTTTCGCATAGTTTTAAAGAGCAAAGTTATTGCACAAAAAAGAGGTCCTACCGGGAGTCGAACCCAGGTCGCTGGATTCAAAGTCCAGAGTGCTAACCACTACACCATAGAACCTTTTTATGTTTGCAAATGAGAAAATACAGTTTATTAATCAAACCTTCAACTTTGACAAAATATTAGTCAAATCTTTAAAAATACAAAATAATAGCCAATCATTTAGTCTTCATTGAGACCTCAGTTAGTTAACGCTCACTTGGATAATGCGGTGTTGAGCTGAAGAAATTTTATGACATGCCAGGCAACAAGAAGATGCCAAATTAGCCAACCTTTGACACTTTTATAATTTATTAGCCAAACATTTCAATTTAGATGAAATATTAGTCAAACCTTTCAACTTTAACGAAATATTAGCCAAATCTTTCACAATACAAACAATAGCCAATTGTTAAATTCCGCTTAACACTTATGATAGTTTCGGAGCTAGCAAACAAGAAATTGCCAAGTCACTCAACCGTTTTCATCTTTTATTAATTTAATTTTGAAAGGGATGACAACTTATACGATGTTTTCTTCCATCGGATTCTCAGAGTAAGTATGACGACGAGACGAGAACGGAACCAAAAGTGGTATCTGGCCATTGTCGGCAGCGCGAAAGGAGACCTTGCTATAGTATGATAATAATACAAAGTTCATGCCTAAAGGAAGAACTTATGTTGGTGAGCTAATCCACAATGTTCATTACGATAAGATAATAATCAAAAGTAAATCTAAAGTAGATAAACCAAAAAAATAATACACTCATCTGGTTTTTTAATGGAATCTGATGTGACAGCTGCGATGGAGCATTATTAACAATATAACAATATATTAACGATAACAAATCAATGAATAAAATTTTGAAATGCTATGAAATCTTTGATAATTATTTTTTATTTTCCAAAGTTCAACTAATTTTGTCAAAGTTAAAAGATCTTACTAATGGAATGTCAATGTTAAAAGAATTTTCAAATAAATTGTATTTATCCAAAAAAATCAACGTCTTTTTTAGTTGAAGCTGATATGAAGTGTCGTTAACAGTAAAAAATCAATGAATAAAATTTTACAATATTGTGAAATATTTACCTATTATTTTACATATTCAAAATTTTGGGGCCTCCGGACACTTTTATTATGTATATGACTAATTACTATGATGGATAATTAGAGTTCGATTATAAATTTAAAATGATAAAAAGTTTATGAATTGAATTTTGATTATGGGTCTAGAACAATAATAAAAAATTTAAGTCCAAAGATTAAAGGAACGAACGAATTACATGAGGCGAATACTTTTTTTCTTATTAAAATTTTGGATTTTGCTACGGTGACATGCATGTCACGGTGACATGCACTTTTCGGTCGACCTCATATAGGATCAGGTCGACCTAATCAGTTGTTTCAGTGTACAAACAGTTTCATAGTGTCTACTTTGGAGATTCATATCTTACAATTGGCTAGATGGAAATTGGAGATTAAAGGCTTGTTTTGAAGCTGAAGTGTCCCTCTACACATTAAAGTACTTGAGAGCTCAATAGAAAGTCCAGAAGATCATTTTTGAACCTGACCAAAACGCTATGCCAAAACTGGGAAACTGCCTGAAAATGGCTAAGTCTGGCAACGTGTTTGTCAAGCCTACTTTGGAGCTCAATTTGACAAGCATGGATCCGAGTCAAGTCCAGGGGCCTTTACCACGTTAAATTACGTATTTTTTTATACAAAGGCAAGACATTGAATGAAAGATTGAATATCTTTAAGACTTCAAACAAAAGGCTCGAAGTTGCTACGAAGGCTGTTTTTCTGGCAGCTTGCTTGTGCTCGAAGTCTGCCAGAAAAACAGCCTTCGTAGCAACTTCGACCCTTTTGTTTGAAGCCTTAAAGATATCCAATCTTTCATCCAATTCCTTGAATTTGTATAAAAACATACCTAATTTAACGTGGTAGAGGCTCCTGGACTCGACTCGCATTCATGCTTCTCGAATTGAGCTCAAAAATAGGCTTAACAAACACGTTTCCAGACTTAGCCATTTCTAGGCAGTTTCCCATTTTTGGCATAGCCTTTTGATGAGGTTCAAAAATGGTCTTCTGGACTTCCTATCGAGCTCTCAATCACTTCAATATGTAGAGGGACACTCCAGCTTCAAAACAAGTCATTAGTCTTCAATTTCCATCTAGCCAATTGTATGATATGAATATCCAAAGTAGGCACCATGAACTGTTTTTACACTGAAACAACATATTAGGTCGACCGGATCCTATATGAGGTCGACCGAATCCTAAATGAGGTCGACCGGATCCTATATGAGGTCGACCGAATTCTATATGAGGTCGACCTAATCCTAACTGAGGTCGACCGGAAAGTGCAAGTCACCGTGACATGCATGTCACCGTAGGCACACCCTAAAATTTTTTCAAACCATATCGCATAACTTATTTTTTGTCTTGTGTTTCCTAAATAGAAGAAAAGAGGTAATTGATGATGCCTCATTATTATCACTATTAGATTTATTACTTTAACTTTCTTCATTTTCAGCTTTCCAAGGGGGGGAAAGAATTTAATTTCGTCAATTAATCTACTTGTACTACCAAGGCAGTAATGCTAAATTAATTAAATAATTCACATTGATTTATTAAACGTTAACCAAAATAGTTAGGTACAAGCCGCCAATAGTATAAAGGAAAAAATAACTAAATCAATTATAAATATTTGATAGTATGTGATATGACTAATTCTTATGGTAAAGCTACATATTTCTTTTTTGAATCATTCAAAGTATTTATACGATTTTTTTTTAATTTTAAACTTTTTGAAACTTGTCGATTGTTTTCCTAATGCAAGCATAGTTTATAGAATCTTATTAACTATTCCTATGACTGTTGCTACAGCAGGAAGAAGCTTCTCGATATTGAATTGTTGAAGTTTTATATGCGCTCTACAATGACATAAGAGAGGTTTAACGAGTTAGCTAGGTTAGCAATTGAGAATAACTATTTGGATGATGCAAAGATAAAAGAGCTAATAGAAGATTTTTATTTCAAATAAGACTAGATGGTTGTTACTTTTTATACAATGACAGATGAATTTATTCATTTTGTTATCACTTTCTGAACTTAAGTATTTTTATTACTATATACTAATTTTTAGTTTTAATAAATTTAAGAGGAAAATTTTGATTCATTAATATATATCTTTTGTAAAAAAAAAAAGTTATAATAAATTTAAGAGGAAAATTTTTAGGGCCACAATTTAAACTTTCGGACAAAGACTTCGAATATCATGGACCGGCCCTGATTAGATGTGCAAAGGTCTCACGCAACAATGGAGATAGTTAACAAGGATTCTTACTCGGTAGTGTTGGTAACAAATGCTCAATAGTATTTCAGATTGCATAATCTTTTTCAGGTGGAGTTTGTTGTTTTTGCGTGATGCTCTCTAGTGGTGTCATCCACTTGGTTTGTCTGGGGAGGAATTTTACAGCGTTACATAGCATTGGTATTATAGGTTTTTGCTTTATGGTACAAAATTAAATTGTACATTCAACGTTATGGTACAACTTTATATTATACCTATGCTTTTTGTAAAAATTCTTTTATGGTACAGCTTGAACTTGTACCTTTCTATGATGGTACAACTTCAGATTGTAAAGTTGTATCATAACATAATGGTACGAATTCCTTTATGGTACAACCTAAATTTATACATTTATTGTTATGGTACAACTTTAAATTGTACATTAAAGCCCCAATACTATAGTCGCTACTAGTGCATAAGGTTGACTTTTTTATGATTATTATTGGGACATTGGTTAAATTAACAATACAAGGTGTGGAAGAAATATCTATGTTATGAATCAGACTTTATTAAAACTATCTGGCTGAAAGCTAACATCCATGGGGTGGTGGCGCAGTTGGTTAGCGCGTAGGTCTCATAGCTAAGAGTAATCCTGAGGTCGAGAGTTCGAGCCTCTCTCACCCCATTTTTGCTTTGCTTGTGATTGCACACACGACGTCGTTTTGCTGCAGCTTGTACAAAATCTATTCTTGGGTCTAAAAATTGTCAGGAACAACTACTAGTCTATAAATAAAAACTGAGGTACATGAATATGGCAAAAGGCCAACAACACAAGAATGGGGGAATTCTTCTTTAACCAAAAAAAAACAAACCATTGAGGCAAGGCCGGGTATACAAGCTCTACTCTCTACAAACCAAACATATAATCAAATCTCAGGACACCTCTCTGTTTTTTTTCCCCATCTTTCCTGATTTATTTCCCCTGCACACTACAGTTCAAGCTGAATTCCATTCTTGCTCCTCGAGAAAAACTTGGCGAACCCATTTCGGTTCTTATCAGAGCTACTGTGCATGGAGGCTACGACTGCAGAGGAAGTCGATGAAGATGAACAAGATGGTGGCGAGTTGCGCTCGTGTTTACTGATCTCCACAGCAATAGCTCTTGCAGGACTCAAATCTATTCTAGGAGAGTATGTCTCGTTCGAATGCAAGTTCCATAGCACTCCACCACCTTCACTACTACTACCTCTAGGAGCAGCAGCCAATGATGAAGCTCCTACCGCTGTGATTTCGGGTATGCTGCTGGCATCGATCAGGAAGTCCTCGAGTGTTGCTAGAGATTTGAGTTGCTTCCCTAGGGACAGTATCGTCTTCTGGCAATCTGCAAGCTTCCCAGCTGCTAAAGCTAGGTCCTCCTGCCACCGACAAACGAAAGGATATTATTAACTGTTATGCATCATGCATGGAGCTTGGAAGAACTAAGAGAGATCAATTATTAAAATGAACCTGTTCTGTACCTGTTTTATCTTTGGTGCGCTGTTCATGTTCATTGAGTGCTGCTGGATCTCCAACTCCTCTTTCTTCCTGGAAATCTCTTCTTCCAGGTACTGATACTTGATACTGAACTCTGCCGACGTAGCCCTTTCCTTCTCAAGCTCGGCTTCCAAGGTGGAAACCTGTGCTGACAAGGTACGGGATTCTGCTTCCAAATTCACAAGTTGAGATTCGATCTCTTGCTTCGATTCTTTTGCCAATGATAGCTGGCTTTGGACTTCCTCCAACTTGAGTTGGACTTCCATCAACCGGCTCTGCAATGCTTTATTCTCACATCGACTCGTTGTTAAAGCAGTTTCCGTTTCTGCTTTTTCCGACTCCATTTCTGCCAAGTTACTTTCAGCTTGGAATTTCTCTTGAATCGTCCTCTCCAGACTTTCTTCAAAAGCAGCTTTCTCTTGGATCATTCTCTCCAGAGTTTCTTCCACTTCAGCTTTGTCTGCTCTTGTGTTCTCCAAACTTCGCTCCAGTTCATCTTTCACTTCTTGCAGCTCATTCAGCTTGCCTTCAAATTCAGCTGCCTGGCGAATGGCAATCTCTAGCTCATCTCTCAGCAAGTTTTCTTCATGATCAGTCGACTGTTTCACAACTGATTCAACGTGATTACTACTTTCCATTTCATTCTCAGGCAATGCAGCTAGCCTTTCCATCTCAAGGAAATCATCCATGAGATCGATTTCAACAGCTGGTGCTGCCACCGGTACATTTCTGTTACCAGCAGTCCTATTATTCTTGAACTCATCCAGTTCAGAGATCAATCCATTGAGCCTATCCCCACTATCAGAATGGCTATCCGTGAGAGACTCGAGATACACCGAGGAAGCAGCTGATGTTTTGTGATGATCATTAAGTGAGGAGGATGATCTCGAAGCTAAGGCTTTCAGTCTTCGGCATTCAGCCTCAAGCTTGGCGACCTTCTTTATGCTCTCCAAATGTTGCTTGCTGGCCATTTCAGCAGCTTGAGTACTCAACTCCCTTTCAATTGTTCTAACTTCTAGTTCTTCAGATTGAGACAGAAGCTCAAGCCTCAGTGTTTCATTCTCTTGCTCCAAATATTCAAGTCTTCGAAAGAGATCAGGATCGACTCGAGCTGGAGACTCAGACTTTGCAGCAGCAGCAGCCTTTAATTCAGTTTTCAACTGAAAAAGCTGATTCTCTAGCTCGGATTTATCTGTTTCCCATTCTTTAGTTCTGCTTACCACTGCCTCGCGTATTTTCTCTTCCTGTTCATCACGTGCTTGTCTTAGCTGCCTAACGCACTCCTTGAGCGCCCCGTCAAGATGGCTTACTCGATCTTCAAGCTGAGATTTTGTTTGTGTTGCTGCATCAAGCTGTTTCTTGACAGCCACTAATTCGTTCTCGGCCTTTTCCCAGCCAGCGACAGCTTCTTCAGCAACTTTCGAGTGTTGTTTGACCAAGTCGTCTTTCTGACTCACGTTTACCAGTGCTGCTGATAACTTCTCCGTCAAACATTTGATACTGTCATTCACTTCTTCATCACCTCCAGTTGCAATTTTGGAGGTGACTTCAGGAGATTGACTGTCATCCTTAGGAGATGCCTTCAGTGCGTCCTGCTTCAACCAGAAAAGTATTATATAATAGGTGCCATCAAAAAGAAGATGGAGTATTGGCCAAAAAGCATCGAAAAAAAGAGCATTCCTGTGACATGGAAGTGAGATGCTAACTGAAGTTACAACTCTCCACAGCAATTAAAGATCATAGGTACAAACAATATCCATAAATATACCATTAGTGGCATTAGTTATATCAAAAGATTGTTTCTTTGAGGATAAGCTCCTACATCAATTCAAAGCTTTGATAATACAACTTCCATACTATCGATCACTTTGTAATTGACCACATCATTCCCTCTGGAAACCATTCAGAGTTCCACAATTTTGCAGAGAGAGCTTATCGCATCAATCCTACTTCAACCATACAGCACATAGTTACTTGGAATGAGGGGAAACATTCTTTATCAGAAATTGAGAAAATTGGAGGCAGTGTGAAATATATGTAATACCAGATGAAATGAAAAAAAGGGCAAGAGGAATAAGATGGAACAAAATTCAAACCAACCTGGTCATCTGAAAACCTCTCTGAATGAGATGATATTGAACCTGAACTCTCAGTCTCTCCACCACCCCTTTCTGAGGGTTTCTTCTTCCACAACCATTTTCTCTTCTCCATCTCTAAAACCCGAGGAGCTGACAACCCACTATCTCATCCAATAGATTTATCTGCAAATGCAATAAGTGTAGAGTTGTTCAGAATGGTTCTGTGCTTGGAGCAGAACCAGAAGCACAATCCCAGGAATTTCATACCAAGAAGATGAAAGAAAAGGGAGGAAATGCCTCAAGTCTATGGAAGAAGAAGAATTTCTCGGCAAGCTCATACATAAAAGTGTTGGAGAAAAGAAAGATTGCTTGGCTTAACATTCTACCAGCTTGGCTTCAAATCCAAACAACAACCATCCAATCCCAACAACAACAGCAATATCAGAAACAGGAATTTGTAGAGTCCGATATAGGTAACTATGAAAGTAGAAAGAAGAAATAGCGAGCTTCAGTAGCACGTGAAGAAGCAAAGCAAAACCCACCAAAGGAAGTAACAAACAGTCGTTTTTCCTATACCACCAAACAGTAAAAGAACCCATTTCATCAAAAAAATCGATTGGGGACTGGAAAAATCGAAATAACTACTCACCTGATGAAAACCTAACTCATAAGACTGTAATAACCAAACAAGCCTCTGACAATGGAACAGTAGCTATTACCCTTGCACGGAGAAACCGTAGAAAATAAAGGAAAACCCAGAAAATGAGAAGACGGGAGAAACAGCAGGAACCCAATCCATTTCAGTTCCGGAAGAGAACCCAGACGGCCGCACAACGGTTCGCTTAAGCACGAATTCCAGGAACCCAAATGAATCAAATTGAGAGTTGCCCACATTTCATTGCAAGTAGAGAAATCCGACCCAGTTGGAAAGATGGGGGAGGGAGAAGAAGAGAATGGCACAGATTCAATTACCTTTGACTGCTGGAGACCGGAGCAGAACTTGGGAGATCAGACAGGGACGAATTTCGGTTGAATTAAGAAATTAAATGCCAGAGGCAAGAAAGAGAGAGAGAGAGAGAGAGTTGAAGATTTTGAAGAGATGGTCAATAACTATGAAGGAAGAGAAAGAACAGAAAAGCAAAGCACCGCCGGGCCGGGGGGGAAGGGAGGGCTTTATTATGACCTTTGCTTAGAAATCTGCTGCAGAGTGTCAGGAACTGTCTCCTCCCCAGATACAAATTCAACACAAGCAAAAGCAAGCAAGCAAGATGCTACTAATTTGGCCAATTAATGTGTCAAAGAGAAGCTTTTTTTTGCAGATAATGTGGGTTTCTATTCTAGGTTTTAAAGCCCCACCATCACACAATCAGTCTCTCTTTGTCCCGTTAAACAAGAAAATTTTAGAGAGGGAAAGAGAGAGCATGTGACTCTGAAACGAGAAGCCAGCTTTGGAGGGGGAAACCCAAAAATTACAGCTTTTTTGTTGCTTGGGGAAGATTTTAAAATTTGGGAATCTGCCTACCACTACTGTTGCCGTATTGCTAATGTCAGAGAGATCAACCCAGGTTATTGTATAAATCGTGGATTAACCATAGTTCAAACGGTTTCTTACCGCTAGCGCTAAGTATTGTATATCGAGTTAGTTTTTAATATGAGGTTTATACGGATGACTTGTCGATACAGTGCAATTTCACGGACACTGATTAGAAACTAAATAATGGTGGTTACAAAAGAAAATGAATATTTAAACAATTGTGTTTGTTTGAAAATTGAGCTGTACTTATTCCCGCCCATGTGTGTAGAAGAAGGGATTTGTCTTTGATTTCAAGCAAACAGTTGGGGCGTAGTTGGAGACAATTATGTGTTTATGTCAGCAAATGGCAGCCTGATTGTGGTTTATTTTATTATTTATCCTTTTTAATAATAACAATAATAATAATAATAATAATAGGGTTTTCAATTTTCTCCACTGTGTTTGTTTGGCTGTGGTTGAATTTTGAAAAATGGTGGTGGTGGTGGAAGAGACGCTCTCTCCAGCTTTGAAAATTTTGATTCTTTTTTGATTGATTAGTTTTTGGCAGTTAGCATGGGGTACTGTGGCCTCTGCATGCGCCCGTCGCAGCTTTTTGTTTATTCCATTCATTGTTGTAATTTTACTTTATCATATTGTTATTATTTATTATTCTGTTGGGAACGAACTTAATTAAATTTATTTTAAGTTTGTTTGCTTATTTTGCTGATTTTAGTTTGTAATTTTATTTTATCATAAATAAGTAAATATATATTCATATTAATACGGATGGATCTGCGCATTCTCCTCCATGTCTCCTGTGCAGCGGTCTTATTTTTTTTTTTTATCTTGGAGATTTGTGCAGGTATTTTATTTGAACGAAGGTGGACGTTAATAATCAAAAGACGACAGTAACCAATTTTACTCTGAGGCCGCAGTCAGTCAGCCAGTCAGTGGTTTGAATACTCAAAAAAAAAAAAAAAAGGGTCAAGGAATATAAATGTAGCCGGACCGACCGACGCTAATGACAGCGGCAAATGAGTCAAGTCGAGCCGAGTTCTGATCCAGTTTGAGCTCAGCTTATTAATAAACGAGTTGAGTTCAAGCTCGAGCTCGGCTTTTGACTAAAACCTAAGCTCGTATTTGACTCGAGTTTGGCTTGTTAATGAACTCGTGAGCTCTACTCGAGTTTGACTCATCAATCAGCTCGCGACATAGGCTCTAGCTCAGGTATCATATCATTTAGTTCATAAATATGATTTTATTTGATAATAATTAGTATTTAAACTATCTATGATACATAATTTCATTTTAAAAATAAAATGAGACATATTTGGTCACGTCTTCATAGTCTTAAACATTATATATGTTGATATATGTAATCTTACAAATGTATGGATTATCAACAAGTCAACTAATAAGTTATTAATCGATTCACCCTTAAGTTGATATTAGAGGAGGCTCGCTAACCATATTATCGAGTCAGTTCATAACTCATAACAAACTAACTCACGAGTTAGCTCAACAAGTCACCGAGTTGAGCTAGCTCGCCAACCTTACAAGCTGAACAAGGCGCAGATTGAGCTCGACTCATTAATAAACGAGTCGAGTCTCGAACGAGCTTTGTCGAGCCGAACGTCGAGCCGCTCGGCTCATTTGTAGCCGTAATGACGATAGAAAGGAATCTATACAATCTACCTAGTATCCCACCCATAGTACCACCTCGGTGAGACCACCCTACAAAGCCGAAGTAACCTAACTCAAGAAGAGACAGTAATAGGACTTTTTGCGCCACTTTATGGACAACTCTGTTTGCACTTCTAGGAACTGTCCTAAACTCCAAACAGACAAAAACTAAAGACAGAAGATAAAGACAATTACGAAGAAAAGGTCCTCTGAGGGAATCTGAAGATACACCCTGACAAAGCTGAAGAATCACCACTTTTGAATCGCCTTCGATAATGACGCGAGGTAGGAACTTAGAGACCACGAGAGAAATGACATCTCGTACTGCAAGAAGCTCCATGAGGTAAGGATCAGTAATGCGGGGATGTTGGGATCCTACTATCAACACCACATGCCCGTCTGTCCCGCGAACAACTAGACCAAACGAGCACTCAAAATCACGAACAATGAAATCAAAGTTGATCTTCAGAAAATCATCAGGAGGAGGAACCCAAGAGCTAGGTAGGGAATACAGGGATCGATGAGGAGGGATTGACGCAGGAGGCAGTGGCGGAGGGAGAGGGTAACAAGGTGAGTCCCGGGACTCACCCTGGTTTGGGGGGAAAATGGTTAAATTAGGTACGATAATTAATTAATATCGAAAACTAGGTTGCGTTTAATTGAGAGTTGGTCGAAAAGTTTTGTGTCTGAATCTTGGCGACCTCATTTCTTAAGCATACGGTATACAGATTTGTGCAAACATCAATTTCGTATAAGTTGACTTTCTTATAAGGGTGCATGGTAGTAAATGGTATAATATATATTATTGAAATCTTCCAACAACTCGATTTATTGATACTAAATATTTTTTTAAGAACATCATTCGAAAGCGAACGACTAGGTAAATCATGAATTATTGGTTGGTATAAGATTTATTATTAAACCTCTATTAACAACTCGAGGTATTGATACTGACGGTTCTTAACAAAGAACACCATTGGAATCACTACGACTGACTAAATCAATGATTGTTTGGTATATATGCAGAGTGATATTCTTGATATTTTTGACTGCTAATGCATTTTAATTTATCAAAAGTTTTCAACGTAAGATTATATTAAAAAAACTATTTTATCATATTTATTTTTTTCGAGGTGGACCCACCTTAAACGAAATCCTGGCTACGCCACTGGCGGGAGGGGGCGAGGAAGAGACTTCACGAACTTGGAGAAAACATTGACGAGCTAGAGACTGGGCATGTGGTTGATAATACTCAAAGACCACATTATTACGAGACTTCCAGATCCTCTACAGTACGCATACGTATTAGAGAACATGGGTTTGGGGATGCTCAGAAAGCATAACATGTCACCACCAATGACTGAAAATCACAGTCGGGACTGAGGCAATGAAATCATTTAGACCCATAGGTGACTACAACTTGGTGGGCAATGGGCATCTAAAGAATAGGTGTTCAATACTTTTCCGACTCCTCCAACAAACAGGACATGGGGTAGGACAATTGACTCGTTTAGATTCAAGTGCTACTATTGTCGGTAAAATCACTTTCAGTCATTGCCATATGAAAATTTTCAGTTTATTAGAAACTTGAATATCTCACTTTTTTTCATATAAGAAGGTCAATAATTTGAATCAAGGGCTTACGACTCGAGACTAAAGAGATTTCTAATGTCAGATAGACATGGCAATGGGTAGATCCATTGGGTCATTTGACCCATATGAGTATTGGGTCGAACTCAAATGGACCCATATGCACTTGTATTGATTTTGGGTTTGGGTTGGGTTTGTATTGGGTCAATTCATTTGGGTTATACCCAAATGAGTCTACTGGGTCTAGATGGTTGTATACACAAAAACAATATCAACTATTTCATTGACTACTTTCAATTAGGGTTGGCAACAAAACCCGAACCCACGCGTACCCACCCGACCCAACCCGGTCAATGCGGGTAAAATCCGTGTTGACGGGTTTTGGGCCGGGTTTGGGTTTAAACCCGTTCACTATTCACCGGGTTGGGTTTGGGTTTAGGTAAACCCGGCCCGTGGGTACCCGCCCACTCATATAATTAATTTTTTCGGTATATTTAATATTCTAAACAACTATTCTTATTTATGTTTGTGGAGACATGTCTAATTTTTTCTTTTTAATTGTGTAGAATGAAGTTGATGTTATGGAGTGGAGACTAAAGAACCTTAATTGAAAGAAAGAAGCTTTTAATTAAACATGTTATTTATGGATAATTTGTGATTTGCTTCAATTTTCATGAGTTTTCTAGATTGGTGTTGAACAATTTATATAGTTAATTTGTGATTTGCTTGAATTTTCTAGAATGGTGTTTTATATATGGATAATTTATATTGAAAGATTGATATTTGACTTTAATTTTGATAAGAACTTGTAATTGTAAATTTTTTACGACAAAACCCGTGGGTACCCATGAACCCGCGGATACCCAACGGGTTGGGTTGGGTTTGAGTTTTTCAAACCCGGTGGGTTTTACCCCGGGTTTTTTTCAAAGATAAACCCATGGGTTTGGGTTTGGATTTGGCAAAACCCGACCCATTGCCATCCCTACTTTCAATCCATTTGCACACCTTTAATGTAGGTGTTTTCACCTTTCAATTTTATTCCCAACAAAAAATAAGACAAAAATTGCATTATGATTGGATACCTTTTTTTTTTTTACTTCCTATACTATGGGTTCAATTTAGACCCAAACTAAACAATTGAATATGAGTGAAGTATGAACCAAACTTGATTTGACCCATAATTAGTTGGGTTTGGGTAATATCCAAACTTTAAGACCCATTTGTCATCCCTAATGCTAGATGCTATCCCGTTTTAACCGTATAAGATCCATTTTTGGTAAAATGTCAAATTCTCGTGTCTCTTTGATGGCATCTAGGGAGGTGGGTTTTACATATAAGGGATATTGATCTTGGATCAAAACAGTATCAGAGTCTTGGGATATACCACTCTCCTCTACCTTCTGTAATAAAAAAGAGACACTTGGGGAGTTGGTAAGATTCGGGAGGCGAAACAATGGAGTATTGGGTTTCTCTGAAGCCACCCCCTTGTCCTGGAATGCTATAATATCTTGTTCATCCCCAAATTGCCATCTTAATCCATGAAGAAGGAGATCTCTTCCAAACAACAAGCTACGCCATCCCCATGAGGGATTTTATCCAACAAGGGCATCTAACAATGATCATTGGTTGAAGTATCGTCTTCTATAGATAGAAGCTAGGAGAGAATCTGGATTCTTCCAGATCCGTCAACACTACTTGGCCAATAAAAGTCTGAATAAATGCCCCAAAGTCTCTAAATCCTATACCCCGTGAAATTTATTGTGGGTTAGGCCTTTCCAGAATACTTAGTATATTGGGTGACCAAAGTTTTTCGCCGAGCCCCACCAGAATCTGGCAAAGTGGCTATTTAAACGTAGATAGTTTTCTTTTGGATCTTAAAGCAGGACATGCTATGAACAGATAGGTTAGTAGCAGATGTTATACTTTAAGAATCTTTACCAACTTTGGACAAGGTTTGTTTCTTCCAACCTTGGAGTTTTTTAATGAGCTTCTCTTCCATATATTGGAAGGAATCCTTTTTTTTCTATCTAGATATTATTGAGGGGAGACCTAGATAACGATCTTGTTCACCAATGCTACCCACACCTAGTTGCGGACATTACCAAATCTCATGGTATGGTATGATTTGGTAGTTATGATTCTCTAAATCGATACATCTAAGTTATTTATATATTTTAGTTAGATGTATTATTTTAATATATGAATTTGAAAAATAGATTATTTGAATTCTGAATGATTTAGGTGAAGTCAGCAAAATACCCATGAAGTATGTTAATGAAACGTCGCATGTTCCTTTAGATCATGGGTAATTGCATACTTCACGAGCGTGAAGTGCAATCATGAAACTTGCACTCACATGCTATATAAAGGAGAGTGAGCAGAATTTGAAGAGAGAGTTCAGAGTTGTTCTTCAAAGCGAGAGAAAGAGCTACGAGCAAGTAGGACTTGAAGGTGAATTTGACCTAATTGGAGGACAGATTCCATCTCCAAGCATCCACCCAAGCAACTAGGAAAAGGAATAATCATTTTCCCATGAGTTTTTCTTCTATTCTAGTTGTTCTTTCTCTTATAGTTATGTAGTAGTTACTTTATTCACTTGAACGTTAGCAACCCTAGTTTAGGATGTTGTAGATTGTAGTTCGTAAACTCATTGTGTTGATGGGTATTGTGATTTATATATTGATTGAGCTATTTCCATGAAAATTGAGTGTTCTTGATCAAATCTCTTAATTTTGGTGCAAATTGACCTATGAGGGAGAAAATCCCCTTAGTGCAATGTGGTCACTCCTCAATCATCATAGAGAGCCATGAATCGTTGTGATTGGTGACTCCACGCCATTCCTAGTCAATCTCTGAGGGAGTGGAATTGATTGTCTTAGTCGTCTCTTGTGGTTGTGTGGTATGCTCCTCCGATTAGATCGATTAAGCGGGCTAGGATGCACTCGAATAGGGGGTCCTAGCTAATTTAGATCTCCTAATGGTATATGAATGCTTACCTATCGCACTAGAGTATCACATTTTCATCTATACTCGGGACTAGGGGGAATAACGTTAGAGTGAACTTTTCTCGATTGAATTCAATACCACTTTATTTGCTTGCTTATTTAGTTAATTAGCTTAAACAATAATTCGATTGCTAGATAACTTGTAAGACGACTGAAGTAAGGGTATACAGATCGTCCATGTTGATATTTGAAATATTTACTCTATGCTACACCCGGTTATTGGTTACACTTGGCCTATGATTGGGATTGAGTTGTAGTGGTAGTGAGTCAAGTTTTATGGCGCCATTGCTAGGATTCATGTAATGTTAATTTACTTTTAACTGTGACTACATAATTAAATAGGCAAGTCATGAATGGTTATTCACGAGTGTTGTGACCACTAAAAATAAAATGTTCGGTTATCGATAAAATATTATCGTAATTTAAAAAAATTAAAAAATAATTTCAGTGTCATCTTAATGTCATATGAAACCGTTTCAGATCATTTAAAAAATTTAGAATACACATCATAAACACGATTCCTTGTTCGGAATAGAAATTAGAAAGGGCAAACAATATTTCGATTACAAGTCACAAATTAGAAGCAACATATCCTAAGTGGAGTGAAGGAAACCAGAGAGAGACGTGGTCATTCTCTTTGCCCTTCATTAGATTACACACCATATCCACACACCACCCTCACCTCAAATCCACTCATCCGTGATCCGACACTCTGTTTTCCTTCTAACACCCTCAATTTTCATTTCTTTCTCTTTTGTGAAGGACAAAAAAACGAACAGAGCTCCCCTGTTTCTTGCCTACACCTCCTTCTCCACCACACAAAAACTCCCAGGTGGACAGAAAAGGAAAGACGGGCACAAAAGAGAGCTAAAGGAGCCGAAAATTTCAGCCAGAAACCCACATAAGCAGCAACTCCAATGGCGTCTCAAGCAATGCTCTTCTCTTCAGGGGTTTCCACAAGGCCAGCTGTGGATTTGAAGAGAGACTCAATGCTTCAGTTCCAGCAGCTCCACCAAAGTTTAGTGAAGCCCAGCTCATTCGCTTCTCATCTCCTCTACAGCCCACTCCCTTCTTCTTCTTCTTCCAGATCGCTCTCCACTGTCGCTCTGTTCAAATCTAAAACCAAGGCTGTCCCGAAGAAGGTAAAACCCAGACTCTGTTTTGAACATTCTTTGCTCTGTTTTTTTGTTGTTGTGGAAATGTTGAATTCAGTTGTGTTTATGCACGGACAGGCTCCTCCACCGAAGCCCAAAGTTGAGGACGGTATCTTTGGGACTTCCGGAGGTATTGGTTTCACCAAGCAGAATGAGCTCTTCGTTGGACGCGTCGCCATGATTGGCTTTGCTGTGAGTTCCATAACTCACACTTTCTACTGCAAGTTTCTGCAAAATAAGCTCCTTTGTTGGTTTATACTGTGACAAGCAGTTACTTTAAACTCAGTTGAGGGACTAAAGAATGAAGTTATCACCTTTGTACCATGGATTGAATTAACATAATGTGCTTGCAATGTTTCTCAATGTTTCTTATGTCTTGTTTAGTAACATCTTCAACAAATTGAAGTCAAAAGTATGTTACTTTGGTCTAGACTCCTGAGCATTTGAGGTAGCACGACAACTTTAAGCTGGTCGGTTCGAATCGCAATTCGATTCGTGGATTCGTTGATCGATTTCCCAAGTCTTCAAATGTAGAAACAAATTTGAGTAGTCATCTATTAGTGAAAAGGTTGGAGTCTCAGGTTGTAGAAGTGATTGTGTAATGTGTTTGATGCGAATGGTTGCAGGCTTCTTTGCTAGGGGAAGCTGTAACAGGGAAGGGAATTCTTTCACAATTGAACCTGGAAACCGGAATCCCAATTTACGAAGCCGAGCCGCTCCTCCTGTTCTTCATCCTCTTCACCCTGTTGGGCGCCATTGGAGCTCTGGGTGACAGAGGACGCTTCGTCGACGAAGAGTCGACGGGGCTCGACAAGGCCGTCATCCCACCTGGCAAAAGCTTCAGGGCCACATTGGGCCTTCCCGAAGGAGGTAATTTCGTTACAGTAAAATCTAATCTCTCTGTTTCTCCAAACAAGATGATCAATTGACTGAATTTGTACATTTGTTTCGTTAAAAAAGGGCCGCTGTTCGGATTCACGAAGGCGAACGAGCTGTTCGTGGGGAGACTGGCGCAGCTGGGGATTGCCTTCTCGCTGATCGGAGAGGTGATAACGGGGAAGGGAGCTCTGGCGCAGCTCAACATCGAGACCGGGATCCCGATCAACGAGATCGAGCCGTTGGTGTTGTTCAATGTCTTGTTCTTCTTCATTGCCGCATTGAACCCTGGCACTGGCAAGTTCGTTACCGATGAAGGCGAAGATTAGAGTTTTTTTTTTTTTAAATTTAGTGGGTTCGTTCATGGCTTTCTCAACCTTTCGGTTTTGTTGCTGTAATTTTCCCGGGAAAGAAGAATTTTAAGGGGAAACAGAAAGATGTTCTTATATAAAATAATTTCAGTATCACTTTTTTTTTTAAGAGAATTTCAGTATCACAAATTAACCGGTTCAAATAATTTAAAAAAAGTTAGAATACATATCATAAATACAATTCCTTGTTCGGAACATTATTATTATTAGTATAATTAATTGACGAGTTAGCTTAAGGGGTCCAGTGGGTTACGGGCAGGTACATCGTAAGTAGGGGTCGGCGTTCGGTCGGTTCGGTTTGAACCGAACCGAACCAGGTTATGCCGAGTTTCCGAATTCCCCAATGCCCCGACCGAATTCGAACCGATTTGTAATTCGGTTTGGTTCAACCGAACCGAATTACAACTCGGTTCGGATGCTCAAACCGAAGTAACACCCTGCTGCCCCCTTTTTGTCTGCTGCCTTTTTCTTTTTTTTGATAAGTTTGGACTTTGGAGTTTGGACTTTGGAGTCTGACTTCGGAGTTGGAGTCGGCAGAAGATTGAGAATCAGTGGCGTGGCGTCGACGTCGGGAGGAGACTCGGCAGCCGGCAAGTTGGGTCGGGGTCAGTGGTCAATACCCACTGGGTGGGATTGCGAGAGGCGGAGAGCTGGGCCTGGAGAACGGTGCCTGGCGGCTGGCGGCGAGGCGGGCGAGCAGTGAGGTTGAGCCAGGAGTCGCAGTCGGGTCGGATCGAGTTGACGTCGCCGTGCTCGGGGCTCGGGCAGTGGAGTGGAGCTGTGGAGGAGTCGTAGTCGGGTCAGCAGTCGTTGCAAGCGTCGGAACTCGGAATCGGATAGTTCCCCAGTGGCGGCCAGTTCAATTCAACTTCTCTTTCCCTTTGTCGCGATTTCGTCAATTCGGCGCCTAGGTTTAGCTCGCAGAGACGACGGTGGCGGACGCGGTGGGTACTGCTAACTGCTGGGTACTGCTGGGGTCGAGTGGACTTGCCAAGGGGAGCAGCCGAGCAGGCCTAGCCGCCCTGGGCCCAGGAAGCCCAATCCAATTTGTTGGAGTTGGACTAGGGCGGAGTGGACTGAACTAAGAAGGCTGGGCCTCCACTCCAGTATTGGATTTGGGCTGAGAAATTCAGGCAGTGGGTTAAACTATTCGGAATTCGGTCGGTTATTCGGAATTTCGGTTCGGTTCAAACGAACCTGATTTCCGAAGTTTCCCCTATTTGCAGCCGAATTTCGAACCTAACTACAAATATTTCGGATTCGGCCGGTTTTTATTCGGTTCGGTTCGATTCGGTAAAACCGAACCTAATGCCCACCCCTAACCGTAAGCCCCTGTACACCCTCTTTTTTCGATGCGAGACCCCCTCTTGCCTTCTCCCGTGTGTTCCCTACGTCGAATGATTGGCGATTACCCAAGTTTTAAGCCTCTTGCGGACCATCAATATTGATCGTCGATTCAGGGGATCTTTTTTTTCTTTTCGAACCTGTGTTTTTTTAACTCCTACCTTCCCTACCCCGGAGATTTCCCAGATCGACGGATTAGCCTAGCGGCCGCCATCAATTCTACTCTTCCTTACCTCCAGGCGAATCTCTGGTAGGTGATGGATCGTATTTTCCCCTCTCCCAGACTAGCTCTAATGGGTTTGGAAGGGGATGCAGGGGATCTCACTATGTGAACTGTTCGGCGGCTAGGCAAGTCGTCGATGATAGGATCACCGCTGATAATCACCCTATTTCCCCACTCTGGTGCACGAACTGTTCATGCAGGGAATATTATTAGTAGAATTAATTGGCGAGTTAGCTTAAGGGGTCCAGTGGGCTACGGGCAGGTATACCGTAAGCCCCTGTACACCCTCTTTTTTCGGCGCGAGACCGCCTCTTGCATTCTCCCGTGTGTTCCCTACGTCGAATGACTGGCGATTACCCAAGTTTTAAGCCTCTTGCGGACCATCAATATTGATCGTCGATTCAGGGGATCTTTTTTTTTTCCAACCTGTGTTTTTTTACTCCTACCTTCCCTACCCCGGAGATTTCCCAGATCGACGGATTAGCCTAGCGGCCGCCATCAATTCTACTCTTCTTTACCTCCAGGCGAACCTCTGGTAGGTGATGGATCGTGTTTTCCCCTCTCCCAGACTAGCTCTAATGGGTTTGGAAGGGGGATGCAGGGGATCTCACTATGTGAACTGTTCGACGGCTAGGCAAGTCGTCGATGATAGGATCACCGCTGATAATCACCCTATTTCCCCACTCTGGTGCATGAACTGTTCAATCGATTCCTCATCTCGACGAATCCTTCGTGACACACCATCGTCTGTACGCCTCCAGCGGATTGCATGTTCAATTAATTGACTGCTGTTTATTCTCCAGCGGGTTCAGAGGCTTCCCCAATCCCAAAATTCAGAGCTGTCGTGCTTAAGTAACGAACTTTGGGCTCTCGATATGTTTTGTCGCCGATGGAATTGGGTAATCAAATAAGAGGGTAAACAATCAGGATCAGAGGGTAATTGGAAGAAGCAACCACAATTAGCCGATGATTTCGACAGGAAGATGAATAAGAGAAGGATCAGAAGCAGTGAACCAGCACTTCTGCTCATTTACTGAGAATAGGGGGTTTGAATTCCAATTGCATGCAACTGGTCGACTCTCTTTAGTTCGTTTAGAATTCTCGATGATGGCCGGAATAAAAAAAATCACCTAGGTAGCAGCTGTGGGTGGGTCATCGGAGATGATGTTGTTCCCGTGAACCAAGTGGTTCTTCTATCCCTTTCTCACACTCTAAAATTCGATTTCTGGCAGAAAATATGAACTTAATCTCAGCGAGAAAGATCAAGGGGAAGCAACGGAACTTTCTATAGTATGGGGGAAAGCTACAAGTGATTAACAAAAGATGTAGTTGCCAACGGGTAAATAATCGGCAAATGTAGATAGACTGATTGAGTCATAGAGAGTATGATGAAAGAAATCAAAGCAACAAGAGCAGTAACAAATATAGAGATGAAGGAATGTATAGAGCTCAACTAATTGACATTTGTTGCCACTAGTCACTCATCTCCTCCACATGTGGGAGGTCATGGGATGGATCTTGGTGTAATGAAAGGGAAGGTAGCCTATTTGATTAGAAAGAAGATTTGTGGATTATGGAAAAAAAAAACATTGAGGGATTTTATCCTATAACGAATGTTAATATCAATGTTAGATAAAGTATCAAATCATTATATAATTATTATGTAATTTAAGTTCAAATAAAAATTAGTATTATTGCACAATATTCGCATATCATATTTATAGCATACATGAAAATTGTAAAAAGTGTAAGTTATATATTCTTCTAGATTTAGTTAAGAAGTTATTTAAAATAACAGTTTATCAATTTCAATAGCGCATATTTACTAAGCACATAACTTGATGTTAAGTCGAGTCAATTTTTAGTTAATTAGATTCAGCTGGATGATGTATTAGTGACTTCTCATTAACAAAACTACACATATTTTTATAATTAAGAAAATTTGAGTAAGTTTAAAGAGTCATACATTTAATATGTGCTATTATGTTAATTTCGTCAATAATTCAATTATAAAACTAGATCTCTCCCAAATCTTGCCATTTAGGTAAAAAAGAGATTGATCTACAAAATCAAACATATTAAAATTATTAACAAAACCTGATGGGATTATTCAATTGAATAATTCAAAATTCAATTTTCTAAATTTCATCTCTATATTACATCCAACCAAACAATCTCATAATTAATTCTCCCAAATGATATGATTTAGTGTTTGAATTATTTAGGTGAAAAATATAAAGGTACATTTTCAAAATCAAATATCCTAGAATTCTGGAGAGAGAAAAAACTATATAGGATCCCGACGCAACGCTCGGGCCAATTATCTAGTAAATTAGAAAGGGCAAACAATATTTGGAAGCTCTAGCAAGTTACAAGTAGGGATGACAATGGGTAGGGTCGGGTGCGGGTTTACCCTATACCAACTCCTAACCCGCTGGGTAGAGCCTTCTAAAATATCCGACCAAATAACCACCGGATTTGAAAATTATATAACCATACCCTATCCACCGGGTAACCACGGGTATTCGGATAACCATGGGTACGAATCCTAAACTATGAACTTATACACATATATGCACATACATACTTTTGTCCATTAAAAATCCTCAATACTTGTAACTGTTCTAGCTTCAACAATAATGGTAGTTAAACTCAATTTCTCAAGCTAAACTAAATTTCTCAAGGGAAATTGACCATTTGGTTAGCAGGGCGGATATAACAAGGCATGTATTATCGATTACCATACACGTACTCTACCCTTTATTTTGAAACCGGGTATTACCCGTACCCACCCCTTAACCCGTCAAAACGGGTAATTACCCTCGTTAACCGATTATGGTCGGGTAGGGTACCATGGTTACGAGTTGGATTGACACTTATAACTTACAAGTCACAAATTAGAAGCAACATATCCTAAGTGGAGTGAAGGAAACCAGAGAGAGAGACGTGGTCATTCTCTTTGCCCTTCATTAGATTACACACCATATCCACACACCACCCTCTCCTCAAATCCACTCATCCAACACTCTGTTTTCCTTCTAACACCCTCAATTTTCATTTCTTTCTCTTTTGTGAAGGACAAAAAAACGAACAGAGCTCCCCTGTTTCTTGCCTACACCCCCTACTTCTTCACCACACAAAAACTCCCAGGTGGACAGAAAAGGAAAGACGGGCACAAAAGAGAGCTAAAGGAGCCGAAAATTCCAGCCAGAAACCCACATAAGCAGCAACTCCAATGGCATCTCAAGCAATGCTCTTCTCTTCAGGGGTTTCCACAAGGCCAGCAGTGGATTTGAAGAGGGACTCAATGCTTCAGTTTCAGCAGCTCCACCAAAGTTTAGTGAAGCCCAGCTCATTCGCTTCTCATCTCGTCTACAGCCCACTCCCTTCTTCTTCTTCCAGATCGCTCTCCACTGTCGCTCTATTCAAATCCAAAACCAAGGCTGTCCCGAAGAAGGTAAAACCCAGACTCTGTTTTGAACATTCTTTGCTCTGTTTTTTTATTGTTGTGGAAATGTTGAATTCAGTTACGTGTATTCATGGACAGGCTCCTCCACCGAAGCCCAAAGTTGAGGACGGTATCTTTGGGACATCCGGAGGTATTGGTTTCACCAAGCAGAATGAACTCTTCGTTGGACGCGTCGCCATGATTGGCTTTGCTGTGAGTCTTATTTCCCCTTTCTTCTGCAAGTTTCTGCTAAACAGTATACTGTGGCAAACATCGTTTGTTGTTTCTCAATTTCCCTATGTCTTGTTAGTAACATCAACAAATTGAAGTCAAATGTATGCTACTTTGGTCTAGACTCTTTGAGCATTCGAGGTAGCACGACAACTTTAAGCTGGTCGGTTCGAATCGTAATTCGATTCGTGGATTCGTTGATCGATTTCCCAAGTCTTCAAATGTAGAAACATATTTGAGTAGTCATCTATTAGTGAAAAGGTTGGAGTCTCAGGTTGTAGAAGTGATTGTGTAATGTGTTTGATACGAATGGTTGCAGGCATCTTTGCTAGGGGAAGCTGTAACAGGGAAGGGAATTCTATCACAGTTGAACCTGGAAACAGGAATCCCAATTTACGAAGCCGAGCCGCTCCTCCTGTTCTTCATCCTCTTCACCCTGTTGGGCGCCATTGGAGCTCTGGGTGACAGAGGACGCTTCGTCGACGAAGAGTCGACGGGGCTCGACAAGGCCGTCATCCCACCTGGCAAAAGCTTCAGGGCCACATTGGGCCTTCCCGAAGGAGGTAATTTCGTTACAGTAAAATCTAATCTCTCTGTTTCTCCAAACAAGATGATCAATTGACTGAATTTGTACATTTTGTTTGCTTGAAAAGGGCCGCTGTTCGGATTCACGAAGGCGAACGAGCTGTTCGTGGGGAGACTGGCGCAGCTGGGGATTGCCTTCTCGCTGATTGGAGAAGTGATAACGGGGAAGGGAGCTCTGGCGCAGCTGAACATCGAGACCGGGATCCCGATCAACGAGATCGAGCCGTTGGTGTTGTTCAACGTGTTGTTCTTCTTCATTGCGGCATTGAACCCTGGCACTGGCAAGTTCGTTACCGATGAAGGCGAAGATTAGAGGTTTTTTTTTTTTTAATTTAGTGGGTTCGTTCATGGCGGTCTCAAGTCTCAACCTTTCGGGTTTTGTTGCTGTAATTTTCCCGGGAAAGATGAATTAAGGGAAAAAACAGAAAGATGTTCTTATAACCCTTCACCCTGCATGTACGTTTTTTTTTTTTTTACCTTTCCATTAACGCAATCGTAAAGTAGAAATTGGAGCAAGTCTTGCTCTTCCAATATGCTTGGTTCTCTAATGAAAAAAAAAACTAGATTCTAATTAGGGGTGGCAGTTCGGTTGTCGGTTAGCGGCTAACCGGTCGGTCTAACCGATAACCGCCAGTTAGCGGTTAACTGAAAATCGGTACTATTTTATGGCGGTCGGTGTTCGGATGGGGTAAGGGAGGGAACGGTTAGTTGAGTAACCGTAGGTGGTTAACCGCGGTTACCCGACTAACCGACCCTCAACCGAACCCCACTTAATCTTCCCTCCTTACCCATCAGAAATCTCAAAACTCAAACCCTATTTCCCCAAAACGAAGACATACCTCCCCTCCCCGCGCCGCACTCTTCCCGAACCATTCGACTGCCATCAGCCCGGCGATTCTCTTCGTCCACCGCCGCGCTCGTCCCTCCTCCGTCACCATGCTTGTTCCGCCTGCGCCGCTTTGCTCATCCACCGTCGGCCACACCTCGGCCTTTCTTCGCCTCGCTCGTCGGCGTCAAGCAGGAGATAGGGAGACAACAGAGTTCGCCGCCTTCGTCACCACCTCCCTCCTCCCCAGTCGGTGGTTGCCGACGAATCTCGCCACCTCCTTCCGTCGCTACCTCCCTCCTCGCGCTGCCTCTCCACGCCACCGCCCACCACTGCAATCCCAAAAGAACAATCCCTCCCGACTCCCCCAATTTTAATTTCTCCAAATTCAAGTTTTCCCCTATTCTGTATATTTGTCGCCATACAAATCTCGGTTTCTCGGCTAACCGTGCCGAAAACCAAAAATCGGTTGGTCAGTTGGCTGGTTAATCGAGCTCCACCGCCGATCGACTTTCGGTAGGATTTTGATCGTCTTCGGCTAATCAAAAATCGTGATTTCGGTTTCCGGTTAAACCGAAACCGACTGACTGCCACCCCTAATTCTAACAATGGTGAGAGTTGGCTTATTGTCACAGTAAACAAATAGGCAAAGGTAACTAAACGGTTAATTATGCAATTAACCTCTTCATCCATTGGATCTTACAAGTTACAAACTAAGTATGCTTTTAAGTCTTGCAAGTAAGTAGTACAAATTGCACCTTGATATCTAAAATTAATAGATATTAAGATTTAGTACCTAAATTTTTTTTTTGAATATAAGTCGAAAAATTACATTATAGTATCTAAAACATTTGTCTTACATTTTGATAATTAAACTTTTTAAAATTTATAAATAGGTCCAAGTTTATGAGGTTTTTTGGCATGCTTTAAAAAAACTTGTGGTGTGCTTTATTACACTCGTGGTCTGCTTAAATAAACATGTAGTATGTTTTATAGGATTTTAAGTATGCTTCAGAGAGTTTGTGGTATGTTTTAATAAACTTGTACTCTGCTTTATGAGGTTTTTAGTACGCTTCAGGAAACTTGTGGTTACCTATGTATATTACAATTTGGTACCTTTACTTCATAGATTTTAAAATTTAGTCCTTAAAATTGTTTTCTTACATATAAGTCCTAAAAATATTGATTGAAAATTTCTTTTTAGAACCTCAAAATTTTATGTCTTATATTTTGATTACCTACAAATAGGTCCACACGAGAGTGCACTCCTAATTTTTTTATAACGATAAGCGTGCTCTGATGACATTCTATTTATAACGCTGATTACTCTCATATTGATACATTTTCCCCTTCTATCAATGTTTCTTTAGTACTTTCTCTTAGGGATGTCAACCCTAAACGGAAATCTGGGTGCCCGCCCGAAACTGCACCAGTCAAAACGGGGAAAACCGAGTTGACCGGGGTGACGGGTCGGGGTCGGGAAAACCCGAACAGTTGACGGAGCGGTGATGGATTCATCACAATCTGCCTCGTAACCGCCCGAGTTCATCACTACTCCAACAAATCTAGATCCAGCTACCATCAGTCTTTCGAATTCCAATCATCTTCCATTCCCGACCTCTTATCTTATGGATTGACGATCTCATAATCGAGATAGTTTCCAGATTAATATCAATCAATTATTGCTAAAACACTCGCAGTCATTATATGATAACGTGCACAAAGATACATGTTATAGTGGTGTGCGCGAACACATTACGTCCTTTGGATGGACGATACTTTATTTACATAATCAAAAACCGCATCGATTCGACGGTCACGATGCGCCGGTACACGATTCATCAACCGAGTGTGCATCATGGTTGTCAAACCCGGCTCTAACCGGCCGGTTTGACCTGGTTGGGTCGGAACCGGGCACAAAAGGGGCCAGCACCAGGCATATTTTGAGCTAGCCGGCAACCGGTCAAAGCCGGTCAAAATCGGTCAAACCCTGGGTCTGACCGGACTTATCCGGCTACCGGCTAGTGATGAAACGACGACATTTTGGAGGATTTTGGAACAACCTCCCAAATCGGCTCCTCCATCCGCCAGTGTCGATCGACACCTCTGCCGACCACCGAGAACCTACCTCGCCGTTCGCTCCCAGCTCCAACGACGGCTCCTTCTATTTTGCAGGTGTTGGGTCGCTGCCAGATCTCTCTCTCTCTCTCCGTCCCTCCCTCCCTCTCCCTCTCTCTCTCTCTCTGGTCGTGGAAACCCTTTGTGGGTGTGTGTGTATAGGCGGCGGGTGCTGCTTATGATATTTAGGGAGATGGATGTTTGTTGGGTAGTTGGGTCTTAGGGTTTGTTTGTGCCAAAAAGTAATTAAGGGTTTTGTTGGGCTGATGTAATGGGTTTGTTTGGACCACCATAATCTGTGACAAAAATGGCTTCCTATATCCATTATTCACCTATTCTATTAAAACCGGCTTAAACCGGTTGAACCCCGATCCAGCCATTAAACCTCAAACCTCTTGTTAAACCGGCTTGACGACTTAATCCAATTTGACAACCTTGGTGTGCATATGTGCACATACTCACAAAATGGCTCCGAGCAGGCGAGCACACACCCTGATTGCATATCAATAGTCGGCTAGCGGTAGTTTTCCTCGTTTGTGAAGTAACTATAATTTCCTTCTCCCATTTCTTCTCGTCGTCTCCCTCTTCTGCGCCTCTCGTTTCATTTCTCTCGCCCCTCTCTTTTTCCCTCCCCGCTGGAAAAAAAATAAGAATCCCCCAGAAAAGCGGAACAGGGCGAGAAGGCAAAGCAAAAGAACCGCTTCTAATCTCTCCGGCAGGCCGCCTGAATTTTCCGTCGACATGGCTTCAGGTAATTTGACCTCCTCCGTTGTTATATCGAATTCGATGGCGCAATTAACAATCACAGCCAATACTATGGTCGGTTTCCGAGCTAGGATACGAGACACGTCGATTTGAAATGAAATTGCCGGCGGCAGAAATGTTAGAGAGTCGCGCTTGGTTCTGAATTTCTGATTAACTTGCTCTCATAAGCTTATTACCTGATCGAATTTTTTTGAATTTTGTTTTTCTGTTAATGATTGTCGATTGATGGCCTGCTTTTGCAGATTTTGTTCTGCAAGTTCCTGCTGAGCTGGAGTCGGCTCTGCAGATGAGGACTGTGCGCTACTTCGACACCCGGAGGCCGTGGCTCGGTAATAATGGGAGCAAGACATGAATTGATCAGTTTCGGAATTAGGCATGAGTGTGTTTCTTTTTGTGATGTGTTATGATTTCTTATGCATTGAAGGTTTGTGCATTTTTAGATCTCTATGGAATCCACGTACGTCCTGTTGCGCCATTTGGGAGCACGAGTAGGAGACTAGATGCTGATCCAGCGCTAATTCACCGTTCCTTGCCCGACGAGTTGCTCTTCGAGGTAGCTCTTTGATACCTTTTGGGGGCTTTTTTGCACGGCCATTTCGAATTACCGGTCCTCTATTTGATCATTAGGAATATGAGAACAAACAAGGAGAGTGGACTATTTGGTGCTTTGTTATCCAGTTGGACTTCATAATGATGCTTGTTCTTATGCAGGTATTTGCACGGATGAATCCCTATGATTTGGGAAGGGGAGCTTGTGTATGCAGAAAGTGGAGATATGCTATTCGTAGCCCTGTTCTGTGGAGAAATGCGTGCTTGAAGGCTTGGCATGTAAATTTCTAGCAGTTATATTGTTCTTGCCAGCTTTCCAGGTTTATAAAATTGTTACAATGTGGCCCTTTCAAACTATTTGTGTAGTTGTTTGGGGTCGTGGAGAACTATAAAGTTTTGCAGTCAAAATACGAGAGTTCGTGGAGAAAAATGTGGCTTTTAAGACCCAGGATCCGCACTGATGGTATGAGATATTTGTGAACTGCTTGTTGTTAGATTTTCTTGGATTTTTCGAAACAAAACTTGAACTTTCTTCTTGCGTTACTTGCTAGGCCTCTATGTGAGCAGGAACACTTATATTCGAGCTGGAGTGCGAGAGTGGAGCGTAACCAATCCAGTTCATTTGGTATGCTTCTATGACTCTTTCTAACTGATAGATTTACCTTCCAACTTGTCTGTTGAAACATTTGATAAATGTGACCTGAGGCAAAGTGTAAAGTGCATTAGCAGAATGATGGTTAAAGTTGATCAATTATATTAACACAAAGTCATGTACATATCCTGGAGGTGTTCTAAGCGTATCTATATCAAGTTGTTGACATATGTATTGGAATCTTGTCAGACTCTCTCTTCGAAGATATAATGGTTGTTGCTCTTATTCTGGATCGCATGCCAACTTCGTTGTAACATGGCTCTGTGCTTTGTCTGCATAGTTGAGCTGTTTGGTTCTGCACGTGGAGTACTATCGGACTGTTATCATACTGTCAGCCATTGTGTATTAGACTTGCAGTGGATGCAGAATACGTTTTTGATTAGTGTTGCTAGTTGGCATCCATCAAGATATAGTTGTGTGTACCAAGAGAAACTTCTTAAAAGATGAAGAGGAGACAAAAGAGAATATCTTTTTTTTTTTTGTTTAGTTGTCATGCATTACTTATAACGACGATTTGACTTTCTACTGCGTTTCTCTCTCTTTGAAGGTTTGCTATTTCCGTTACATGAGATTTTCATCTTCGGGGAGGTTCCTCTACAAAGTAAGCTTGTTCATGCTCATGATATCTGGAAAAGCTATAGTTTGGTAAGGGGGTACCATTTCCTTACACACTATTTGCAATTTTTCAGAATTCTTCTCAAGTGGTCAAAGATGTTGCGAAATACATGAACTTTCGAGCAGCTAAAGGTGATGGTTTATTCACCGGTCGTTACTCTCTGAATGATGATCAGGTATTGTTCTTTGACTATCAACAAAAATAACTGGGATTCCTTCTGTTATTCTTGATTGTACCCTCATTTTTACTTTGAGATTTTTGTCATTTCATTGGTGTTTTGAAGAGTGCAGACCACATTTCTTATCCTGCTCTCGCCTTTGCCTTTGGTTTCAGGTTGAAGCTGCTTTTCTGTATCCTGGGTTACGTCCTACTTTATGGAAAATCCGCTTAAGGTACCTGATACACACATCCTTGATTGATTTATCTTCTAATATTCTGATGGTTAAATGAATGTTAGAGAGACTATAAATTTGGTAGAATCTTCAGGTGGTAGATCATCATTATTTGAGCTTGTGGCCATAAAGTAACATACTTGGGCTGACAACCGTCTACTTTCCCTACATACCTGTAGTGAGCAAGTGGTGTGTTTGTCTTGTGCTGTAGGTTAAGAGGGACACAACAAGGTGCAAACAATCGTATGGATTTGCTCTCGCTTGTGACTAGTAGAGTGAACAGTGAAGGCATAAGTGGACCGGAGGAGGAGGTCCTCGGGGCGGTTGATGCCTTGGAGGATGAGATCACTCGTACATCTCACCGGAGAGGTCTGGCTGCTTTCGTCTTTGTTCCTTTCGAAGAGGTATGCATTACGCAACGCTGCAAAACTTTGATCATAATCTCACCTGGAACTAGTAGTCTTTCCAGTAAAATTGTTGGATTGCTCACGGTCCTTCGTGCCTTAATGCCAGGTGGAGACCTGTGTGCTGAACCTACCTGTGGAGAAGATGGATTATTACGTCCCTGGCTAGATTATCCTCGAGTCCCTTTTCTTCCATCTGTAAATAATAGCATTGCGTTCGCGTGTGGCCCTTCGGTAAATATGTATCTCTGTATGTTAGCAGCATAAATTCCTGTTCAAAGTGACGGTAATAATAGGGCTATCGGTCTCCAAAACAGCAAAGTGTGTTTGTTGTTGTGAAAAAAACTTGTAATCTCAGCCATCCTTTGAAACAAGTTTTGATCTGGCCGCCGCGCGCTCTGGTTATAGGTATTGTAGAACAGTTTGGGCTTTTGAATTGTACAATAACTAGTCGGAGCTGTTTTGAGTTCGTATCTTCTCTGTAAAGTCGAAAAGACGATGCTATTGCTTGGAACTGAATCATTCATTGCATCATATTCATAAATCATTTCAATGTATGAAATGTGAAATTCAGCATGACATTACATAGCTGTCCATCTACACAGGTGAAGATGCTCCAACAGAGTTGGAACTTCCTCGATCGTAGTGGGCGAGCGTGAACTTATTACAGTCATCGGTCGTCGTCTTCTTGAATCCGAAATTCGGTACAGGTGGGTTACAGCGTCTTCGCTATATGCTGGATTTGGGATCTCCGGAGTCTACAATCGATCCCCACGATGGGTTCCGAGGAAGAAATGTGTCCTGTCAAACCAGAGCAGAGGAGAGAACGATCAGCGTTCTAGGTCAAAAAAATTCAAGGGTAGAGGTGTGCACATATGAACTGCGCAATTTCGCTACAATGTTCACACAACATCTATGAGAACGTTGCTCACAGCGCCCGAAATCGACACCATAGCCGAGTTGCGGTGAACTAAGATTGGTTGGCAATTTGTAGCAAAGACAGTCAATGATGTTTCAATCTACACCAACATCCCACTGGAGATTTGCAATTCTATCATCCAAAAGATTTGCAATTCTCGGATCATTTAACTCAAAATCAAAGCAATTTTTGGGAATCTCAGCTCCAGACCATAATCGGTTAAGCCCTTAAAATAGATTTACCTAACAAGAGCAATTGAGTGATATAGGGGAATTTCAATCAGATCAGAAGAAGAGTATACAGGTGAGGGAGAGGGAGATTTACGGAGACGTAGGAGCAAGAGGGGATGACGGAGATGGAATTGGCGCCGGCGTGGCGGAAGGCGGCGACGCAGAGGTGAGAAGCCATACCCAGACCTCGCTTCGATGGAGGGACGAAGGTGTGGACGATGTCCATTACTTTCTCTTTCCGCATCACGTACTGGAGGTATGCCTCCTTGTCCTCCGTCTCGAACTTCCCATCCTTCTCGTTGTGCAGTATCGCCGGCGTCTCTGGTTTCGCCGCCGCCGTCTCCGTAGATGCCATCTTCTCCCTTCTCGCTCTGATCTCTCTGCCGGCGCTTTTGTGTTCCCGACTGGATATTTTTTACAACTGTTGCGGAAAAGTAGGCGATTTGTTTATCAGGGGTATTATAGTCATGTCAATCTGAAATATGCTCAATCCGGGCCAACTATTCGTTGCGAGAATTTAGAAACCCAAGATCGTTTTCATCTTCTTGGAATCCGATCCTATTCTTTGAAGTGGTTTCCTTATTGAATTTGAAAATAGTTTAGGTCACAATCTGATTTTTGAAAAAATCTTGGGATAGATTTGCAGCATTTGTAAATTCGAAGAGATTCTATGATTTACATTGTCGCATCAATGTGAAAATTATTCAATTCAGTGTTTCTGAACTGCCCAGTGACTAGGGCCCTGTGGGACTACGCGAGACTGGAACATCTCGGGCAAGGGTTGCCCCACCAAACTTTCCCCCTTTTTCTCAAACGGCTTCTTTCCCTAATTCACCATCCCTCTGTTGTCCTATCTGTGGTGGCTATTCTATGGCGGATTTGGAAATCCCGCAATTGGGTTGTTTTTGAAGGCAAGCAATTTGGATTCCCTGCCTTGATGCGCCAATATCACCAGCAATGTGAGGAGTGGGAGCGTTTGTCGGCTGAGAGGGGGACTCTGGGTCTCATTCATCCTCCCCCTCCAGCTGGGCTACCTGCGGGTCCCTCGTTGGTGTGTATGTGGGATGGAGCTACAAGGGCGGGGTCTCATTCGGCAGGCGGGATAGTTCTTCTTGGCCCTCATAAGGATGTCCTCTTTGCAAAAGGCATTTGCTTTCACTCTATTGATGATCCTCTTGTGGTGGAAACCCTCGTCCTCAGGGAAGCTCTTTCATGGTGTGTGACCAATGGGTTCCTGGCTGTGCGATTTGAAGGCGATGCCAAAGTCATCATCGACAAGATCAACCAAGAAGATACTAGAGATAGTAGAGTTGGGATGATTTTGGGGGAAATTAGGCAGCTTCTTGCTTCTCGCCCGGGGTTTAGCTTACGATTTGTAGGACGGAATAACAATAGGGTAGCCCATGCTGTGGCTAGAAAGGCCCTTTCTTTGTACCCGTCTACGTGTCATTCTTTTAATTTTCTGGCCTGGCTGTATTCCAGGATGTAACGCTCTACCTCTTTTGAATCAATATAAGATTATCTTTTGTCAAAAAAAAAGGGTGATCTCAAGATTGCTATGGGAAAGGTCGAGAAACAGATGGAAAGTTTTCCAGTCTCTCCCCTATTTTCCCTCTACACTTTTTCTCGTTAATGATCGTTGGAGGTCAGCCTTCGATGGCGGAGGATGACCATTGCTTGTAACCGTCAGATGGTTCTCAAATTCATCGCATGTACAACCAAGCAAGAAAGCAGAGGCAAGCACAAGTGTAGGCTTTTTGGGCGAAGGGGTTATTGGAATACGCCGTTGTAACGTGCGAGAGCACAAGACTAAGCAAGAAGCTATGAAGAGCTGAGCAAAGAAGCAGAGAACTCGGTTTCTGTGAGGGACTTGGTATCAAAGCGAGCAAAGGTTTCCTAAAACGATTGCTTTTTGAGGATCAACGCACGCGCCAATTGATATCCCAGAGGGTGATGAATTAATGTCGGATGAATCAGACAAAGAAGACAAGGATAATGATCCAACTAACCGACAATCCACATAAAAAGAGAACCAACGTGAAGATTCGCAATCACTAGAATCGTGAAATCACCTTTCGAGTCATGGGTAAGAATTTTCCCTTTGCCTCATCAACATGAGACTCTAGAGGTTGTTGGATAAGACGAGTCGAACTAAAATCGAGAACATCAGGAATGGATACATGTACTATCAAGTAATTTTTTATTCACAATTGAATCACGATAGAGCTCTCTCTATGGAGGGTCTTAGACAATTGAAGACCACTATGTTGCACCGGAGCCATGGAGGCTGAATTTTGACCCTTTTTCAATTCAATCAATAGACCTATAGTCTAGTTAAGACTCCCCCGCCTTCCCCTTGCATATTTTGATAAAGATTTTCTCTTGGATATTGGTTACAAACTAGAACGAGTGGAAAAAATGGCTACAATACAACAAACGGTTTTAGGTGGAATTATGCGGGCATATGTGTGGAAATTGATCTATGGAAAGACTCACATCCAAGTACATAATCAAAAGAAGAATAAGAATAGTTAAATATGAGGGATTACGCACTATATGATTTGAATGTGGGCGCTCCAGACATTTTGAATACAAATGCTTGGTCACAATTAAGCATGGAGAAACCCTCGTTGAAAAAAAAAACAAAGGAAAGTAACTACACTAGGCCGAGTCGAAAGGTTCTTCCGGAGATTTCTTGGAGACTTCGGGTCATGGATGCTTGCAAAATGACAAAGAAGAAAAACTAAGCAACAATAGCAAGCAGGATAGGGGCAACAAAGATGTGACAAAGGTTGGGGAGTCCACTAAGTCAGGGTCAAGGTTTAGTGCCCTGGCATAAGAGAAAGATGAGCATGAGGTGAAGGTGGAAGAGGTGAATACATCTCTTGTTGAACAAATTCAAGAAGACACTGGCACAAGGAAAGCAAGACAATACACCAAAGGGAGAGAGTAGAAAGAAGGAAAGTCTAAAGGAAAATACAAAGGAAAATACAAAGGAGAGAAAAAAAATAGAAGAATCAAAGAGGGAAAACAACAAATGAGCAAAAGAAACTTGGAAAAATCAAAAAAAAAAAAGGAGAACCAGAAATCAGTCCCGAATAACAACCTGCAAAAATCCAAGGCTAGCATCTCGGCCAATAAACCTAAACAACAATCGTCACGGTCAAACAACGAGAATACGAGTCAAGCCAAAGGAAATTCATTACCCGGCCAGCGTTAGCAAGTTGAAGAATACTAAAGAAGGACCAAGGACAGTTTGTACCTGATCACAAAAAGACAGGAAGTGACACGACCCAAACCACGTGAGCGAAATCAAGGCACCAAGCCAAGATCAAGCAACCGATGGTGAGTAAGTAAAGTACTGGTACCCCATAGATGAAATCGAGCAACCAAGAAACTAGAGGAAGCTACCCAAGGAATATCAACTTTGAACTAAACTTGGGAGGGGTACAAAAACAACATGAAAATGCCTAAGAACCCATGGAAATAACTTTTGTGTGGTTGAGCCAGGTGTGCGGAAGATGACCATCCATGCACGGTTGCACCAGCCCCTTATTCGATAGATTATCAACAGTCGACAACTATGTAGGGAAGGTTCTCAACTGTTACATTATTAATTGTTAAAACCTTTACCTAGAATTTCAAGAGTGCAAAACGCCTTAAGTTCACTCTACCTGCGAGTTTTACCAAGCCAACTTTGCACATGGTGTGCTCTGCATTCTTGAACCTAGAATTCGCGGCAAGAAGGCTGAATCAGTCATCATGTCACTAGGCTTCGATGCTTTGGAAGAAGTTTCATATGCCATGAGTTTCATCGGTTGGGATTCAGAGCCTATGGAATAGAAAAAGGATGGAGATGGAAGTGCTAGATAGGCACAAACAGTATATGCACCTCAAATGTACAATGACGGGCAGTGTGCCATACCACATAACAATGGTTCATGCGAGTCCAAATGAACATGACAGAGTTGAGCTCTGGAGTACTGTTGTGAGAGCCATTGAGGAACGAACCAGTGTGCCAATGGCTACCCGTTGGTGAAGTCTGACCACAAACCTATCTTGACTTGCATGTCAGCGCATTTGCGGGAAAAGAAAAATCAGTGAGGAGATTCCAATCCCTTGTACTTTGGTTAGATCATTAAGATTTCCTTCCTTTCCTCAACTATTTTTGAAATTTTACCGGTGGTATCCCATTCTCTTTAGAGGTACTCCTGGAGATCCCGTGAAAATGGGGGAAATCACATCTATGGAAACATTTTTTCAGATGAAAAATGTGAACTCCTTACATGCTCGAGATTCCGGAGAAAATCAATGAGAGGAACCCGAGCAGCAGTTTGATGGCTAGGCCGAGTCTTCTACAAGAAAAGAGTTGGATTGACATGGATGCTCTAAACACTATTATAGTTCCTTTAATCTTAGCTAACCACTAACTCACTAATTACGTCATAATCCCTCCCCGTAACAACCCTTAATAAAATAAATTATATTATTAAATAAATGCACATAACACTATACTACCCGTACTTATACGTAGGGATGGCAGAATTACCCATGCCCATTGGGTTTTAAATATCCAACCCATGTGGGTCAGGTCTGAAATCCAAGTCAACTTTAAATGGGTAAAGTCTAATGGGTCAACACCCATACCCATAATGTTGGGTCCAGTTGGGTTTTACCCATGGATTTGGGTTAAAAAACCCAAACCCAAGTAATTAAACGACAAAAAAAAAAAAGCATCGCCCAGACGCCCACGGTCACTCGATCAGCTCTTCGGCTCTTCCTATCTATCACTCTCGATCTCGAGACGTCAGACCGCCGTCGACCCTTCTCTGTTCTCACTTCTCTGATCGATTGGATTCCGGGGAGCAACCATCGTCGGCTTCCTCAATACCGCCGACGGCTTCGCGACTCGCCAGACGCCAGCTCCTCCTATCCCTCTCAATCGGTCAGATTCCGAAGAACAAGAGGGTCTGGGCATCTGGTCGATTTGCCTCGTCGCCCACCCCCTCAACACCGCCGGCGGTTTCGCGATTCGTCCTCTCCCTCCCGATCTCCTGCTCTGCTCGCGATCCGGGGAGCAACCATCGTCGGCTTCCTCAATACTCGCCAACAGCTTCGCGAATCACCTGCTCTCCGCCACGAGAAGCCCACTCCGCCAGGCTCCAGGTATTGTTCATCTTACGATTCTTACCCTATGTTTTTGAACTGGGTTTCTGAATGGGTCTTACTAAATAACGAATCTTAGTTGTGAATTGGGTATGAAGTGTGATTGGTAATGGAGGGGTATATTTCTCGCTGAGGACTTCTGTGATAACGAATCTTCGTGTCCAACGTCTGTTTTGCTTGGTAATGGAGGGGTATTTCTCTCTGAGGACTTCTGTAGCTAGTCTCGATGCCACTACTGCAGGCCAAGCTGCCTCTAATGGGTCACTTGGAATGAGGCCAAAAGAGGCCGCCGAGATGACGATATCCATGGAATGTTTAGCCTATGATTGTTCTTCTTTCTATTGTGTTGTAGTAGGTTTCTTCGTGAGTGGCATGGTTGTTGGGATAGTAAGGGTCATCTGTGGGTTGCTATTGTTGTTGAACCTGTTCAATGTTTCTTTAAGATTTGTCGAACACTTGTCGCAACCAGGCTTATAGTTATGATGACAAGGATCTATCTTACTTATTTTGATAGTTTTGTTTTCTTCCCATGTATGTACACACCCACAATACTCTTGCTTATGAACTGCTATGTTTAGCTCTGTTACAAATGCCCGATTGAGAAATATGATAGAAACGAATAATTGCCCACCAACGAACTTCTTTCCCTTTATTATATCAACCCTTCTTCTCCTTCTTCTTCTTCTTCTTCATCATTCCCATTTCCCCTGCTGCCACTGATAGCACTACTACTCTTACTACTTACTTATGAACTGCTATGTTGTTGGGATAGTAAGATAGTTTACTTATACATACAAATTGTTCAATGTTTCTTTAAGATTTAGAGAATTACACCAAGAGGAAGCGAGTGGAAACCGAGAACAAATCGCCTGGAACCAATCTTTCTCAAAACGGGGGATTGGGCGACCGCATAGAGATTTGGACCGGAAGTGGACGGCCGGTCCCCGACCCGCCGCAGCTGCTGCAGCCCATCCGCCCGGATCCGGCGCAAGTCCGGCAGCCCACGTCGCCGTCGGACCACCGCGAGCAGAGGCAGCTGACCCGGCCCGTGCCGTTGCAAGATGGGCACCTGGGTTGGAATGGGCCGGACATGGGCTTGTCTTCGAGCAGGGATTTTGCCATTACTGCTCCGGCGAGGACGCTGAGGCCCGTCGCCAGCTGGGTAACAACCACGGGAACCATTTTCGTAGCGAGAGAGAGGAGGAGGAGAATTGCGATTGGCGATGATGGATTTGGGTAGCGAGCTCGATGGTGAAATCGCCACCACCCACCAGCTTTTCCCGGAGAGGCACCGGCGTCCGGCATCATCATTCATCATCCTCGCCTGTCAGTCGGAAGCATTCGGCACCGGCGTTCGTCACCGGCGAAGCAGCTGGAACACGATGGTTGTTGAATGTTGACAGCCAAAGTTACATTTTAGTACCTGAAGTTTTTAAGAAGATACAAATAGGTTCAACATCATATGTGGAAAATTATATTTTAGTACATTAAAAATTTTGCTTTACATTTTAACACCTAATAAAAAAAACATATACAGGTGGGTCCAAGGAGATGGGTACCCAAGCCCAACCCATACCCAAAAATAAAATCCAAACCCAACTCCACCTACCCAAACATTATCCAAATCCATATAGAATAAATCCATACCCAACCCATATAAAATGGATATAATTGGGTTTGGGCAAAAATACCCATGGGTGGGTAAATTGCCATCCCTACTTATACGGTTAGCGACTTAGCGTAGACAGTATAGTACTGAAAAAGTAGGTAGATGCAAGCAAAAAAAAATATCAATAAATGGCCAAAGGAATATGAATTCTCCCACGTGCCCCTAATGATGCCTATCCTTCTATCCACACGTGTTCTATTTCTCTCTCTCTCTCTCTCTCTCTCTCTCTCTCTCCATCTCGTCTGTCTCCGTCTGCCATCAGCTCCTTTAATTTCCCTTCTCTCTCTCTCTCTCTCTTCTTTTTCTCCATTTCCTCACTTCTCATCTCCATCTTCTTCCAGATAGAAAAAAAAAAAAAAATGAAACCACAACAAAAACTCTCCCTCTTACTCTCACCACTGATCTTCACTCTCATCCTACCTTCTCCTCCTATCTCCGCCGCCGCCGACGACGACTTTCCTTGCTCCTCTTCCCTTTTCGATCCCCCGCCGCCGCCGTCCTTAAACTACTCCAACTCCCACCTCAACCCTCCCAATCCATCTACCAACAACAAAAACCGCTCCACCGCCAAACCCCCTCCTCCGCCGCCGCCGCCGCGGGTGTGGACGAGGTCCTGCTCCGACGCCGTCCTGGAGCTGGCGCGGCGGCCGGAGGCGGTGAGCTGGATCGAAAACTTGAGGAGGAAGATTCACGAGTACCCTGAGCTGGCGTTTCAGGAAGTGAGGACCAGCGCTTTGATACGAAGCGAGCTGGAGCGGATGGGCGTCGGGTTCAAATACCCGCTGGCCCAAACGGGCATACGGGCCTGGATCGGGACCGGCGGCCCACCATTCGTCGGCCTCCGTGCAGATATGGATGCGCTTCCCATTCAGGTTTTTATTCTTCTTTTTTTTTTTTGGGTGCAATATTATTGCTAATTATTTTTTTTTTTCCTTTTTTAAGTGAAAAGGGGAGATTTTTTTTCTAGGGTTTGATTCGTGTTCCCTTTTCTTCTCTAAAGTTGCTTGATGATGCCTATTGTTGTTGTGTTCCTAAAAAAAAAAATTTGGTTTGACAAGATCATAGAGATCTGAAATTAATTCCGGGTTTTTTCAGATCCAAAGTTGTGAAATCTCTTCTTCATCATTCCTACTTATATTTTCTACAAAGATAAAGCTAATTAACTAATGGATCTGATAAAGGAGGATTAATATGAGCTCTCAAAGAGGGAAGGCTTGTGGGATGAGGTTAGCTTGAAACTTTTGAGTGAGTGATTAGATTCCCCCTAGGAAGAATCCTACTTTTTATATACATATATAGGCATGTCTTTTTTATTTTCTGTAAACCATTCTTTTTTTTTAATGAGATCTGAACAGAGATTTGCAAACCGTACTTGTTCTGACACCAGAAACACCTTTTCGAGATATATTTATTGGTAAACCTGTTAAAAGGTTGACTCGAATTCAGTAATAAGATACGACAGATCACAGGAATGTTGGAAGCTGCTGCTCTGCTCGAATCTCGAGGACCATGAGAAAGATTTTCTGACATATAATCATTAGAGGAAGAAAAAAAAACTTGGGTTTGGTTTTGTTTGGGGTTGGTGGGAGTGAGTGAGTGAGAGAGGGAGAGAAAGAGGAGGTGGGAGAGATTCCTTCACCATGAGGGAAAATGGGTACAACAACAAAGGAAAAGACAAGGTAATAATAATGTATATGAAACCCTAACTTTGAGGAAAGAGAGTGTGTGTGTGAGAGGAAGTTTTCATCTCATTTCATCTCAGATCTGATCTGACCAAAGAGTTTTGAATCCATATTGTTTGGTAAATGTATGGTGCAGGAAGCGGTGGAGTGGGAGCACAAGAGCAAAGTGGCGGGTAAAATGCATGCTTGCGGCCATGATGCTCATGTCGCAATGCTGATGGGAGCTGCCAAGATTCTCAAGGCCAGAGAGCACCTCCTTCAGGTCAGTAAAAAATAACTAACAAGAGTTGGTTCTCTTCTTTATATATATAATTATGAGTCATCATGTGACACTCATTTCGCAAATCCTTCAAGTTTTGACCATACGAGTCATCATGGTTCTCCTTCCCTTCAGTTATTCTATACTATATCTGCGAATAAGGGTTTGGTCTCGTAGTAACACCGCTATATGCTTTGGGGGAGCATTGTGGTTTACTATTTTTTGAACCCGGCCAGCCAGCTGGTTGTGCGGTTTCTTTTGTTGCGTTGCCTTAGCTAGCCAGCTATGATCAGCAGCAAGCTAGCTCTTTTTCCTCTTATTTGTTGTCTTGTCTTTCATGCCTCGCTCGAATCGGTTCCTTTCCTTAAAAATGTTGTGTATTATTATTCACTCTCGTACCCTTTTTCCAAAAAATCTTTTTTTCACGTGGGTGGGGAGGTACGGTTCTTTCTACCTAACATCGAGCAGATGATATATACAAACGGCAGTGCAGAAAACAAGGGAGAATCGTGGTTTAATACGTAGTTTTCAACCGCGTCGGTACCGTTAAATACCGTCTATCGGTTTAGCCTTCGATACTGATATTTTGTGATTGAACCGCCGCGTTACGGTTTCAGGTTTCATGGACCATGGGAAATATTGGTATATATGGCTGCAATAAATAGCAGATTGTTCAGGGAGATTATATTGTGAGAGATTCAGTGAACCTGTGCTGATCAAGTTTTCATTGGCGATGTAATTATTATAAAAGAAAAGCTAGGTACGTTCCAAGCTCAAAAACATAGACGAAGCAACTAATTAGTTTTTCACAGTTTGAGCTATATACCAATTATATATGCAGACTGTTTAGGTATCTATATAGTAAGGTGTGTCCACAAGGAACACAATAGTGTTTTTGAATATCTTACTGTCTCGTTCGTTCGATCGAAAAAAACTTATTTCAAAAGCTAAATTATTTGTGATTTTCCGATTATATTAGGGTTTCGGCATAAAATGCATTACTGCTAACTTTTTTTTCGATTTTACAAGAGAAGTAGTTTTCAATGGTGGCAATGGGGACATTTCCACATGCACCTCTTGGCTCTCTTTTGGCATAGCATGCCTCTATTCCAGGGGGCTTTTTGTAATAGATATTAATATGTTGCATCACAAACCGTATAGGCCATGTGTTTGTTTTGTTTTGTATCGACTGCCATCACCCCCACAAAAACTAGCTAGAGAAAGTGACCCAAACAAGACCACACACACACCCACTCTCTCTCTCTCCTCCTTGTGCGGGGGCATCTTTTGTCTTGAGCATGTCTCTCCGTCGGTACAATAGTGTTCGTTTTGGCTCAAGATTGCACCGATTTACTTTGTAGATATCCTCGCCAAAAAAAATCTCGTACGGATTGAACTAGATGAACACTAATATATAAGAGCTCCGATCCGCGGTCTTCTCTTTCTATGTTCGATGTGGTACTTCGATTATACCATAGCAGAAAGGGAAGGGGGAAAGTCGTCCTTGGCAAATACCTCTATTGTTTTTTGGATGATAGAAATAGTGAGCACTACTAGAGCCCCTTTTGGAATGGGATTTTTGGGCTCTTTTGTTCATTGTGGGGATTTGGATTGGACAATTAAGGGTTTGTTGCACATTGGATGCTACTTTCCCCATGATCACTAGCAACTAGTGTTAATCATGACAACTTGGTGGGTTTATTCATCTTAAGTAGCTAAAAACCCATCATCAACATTTATGGTAATCATAGACTCCCAAGTTTGTGCTTAGCTTGTTATTCATCCAAGTTTTAAAAATAATCAAATGTGGAAATGATGGCGGCCATAGACTCCCACTCCAATATCATATTGTCCCTCCGATATCCAACTAATACTCAATCGATCAAATCTAATGACAATAATCATAACATTCATTGACTATTAAAAAAAAAAACAAGAGGTGTTGATGGTGATGATGTTATCAATATCTAGCCATTTATCTACTATAGTATTTTATGTGTGTTTATTTATCGATAAACTTTAACAATAATTGGTCTTTGTTCATGGGTCGGGCTCACGACTCGATAAAGAAAGGTCCAATTATATCGGTTTAATCATTAATATCACTTATTATACATTATATACAAGCAATAAAAAAATGAAGTAGTTTTTTTTTTGCTTGATAGTTGGTGATATATAAAACGAATATATTCTCAGTTTTTATATGTGCATGGGGTGCTCACTAATTATAATCTATGCATAATTGTTTTTTGAAAAGGGAATCTAGCTTGCACTTGTTCTATGCACGATTGTGTTTTCAGTTTGGCATCACTCGTTTGTTTCTTCATTCGCGAAAACAAAATGAAGGAATCAAAGGAAAAGTGGATGAGTGTTTTGTAAGTTGGCATTTGTTTAATAGAATCCAACGAAGCAGAAAAGAAAAGGAGAAAAATCGGCTAGAGCTCATTAGACTCCAAGTCTCCAATCCGATGCTTTAGGGTTATGATATTTATATGATTATCCATGTGCTTTAACTTCCGGTCGCCGTAATTTTGTGCTTCGCAATTCTATTATCCTAATTTTTTTAATTTTA